TCGGTGCCCGCGGTCTTTCCAGACGACTCGGTGCCCGCGGTCTTTCCAGACGACTCGGTGCCCGCGGTCTTTCCAGACGACTCGGTGCCCGCGGTCTTGCCAGACGACTCGGTGCCCGCGGTCTTGCCAGACGACTCGGTGCCCGTGGTCTTGCCAGACGACCCAGTGCCTGCTGCCCTGCCTGGGGGCCCGGTGCCCGCCGCTCCGCCTGGGGGCCCGGTGCCCCGCCGCCCGCCGCCCTGCCTGGTTGCCCGGTGCCCGCCACCCTGCCTGGTGCCCAGTGCCCGCCGCCCTGCCTGGGGGCCCGGTGCCCCGCCGCCCTGCCTGGGGGGCCCGGTGCCCGCCGCTCCGCCTGGGGGCCCGGTGCCCCGCCACCCGCCTGGGGCCTGGGGGCCTGCCTGCTGCCCTGCCTGGTGGCCCGGTGCCCGCCTGCCCTGGCTGGTGGCCAGGTGCCCGCTGCTCCGCCTGGTGGCCCGGTGCCCCGCTGCTCCGCCTGGTGATCCGGCGTCCAGCCTGACGTGCCTCCGTCCGGTGCCCAGCCCGACGTGCCTCCGTTCGGTGCCCAGCCCGACGTGCCTCCGTCCGGTGCCCAGCCCGATGTGCCTCCTTCCGGTGCCCAGCCCGATGTGCCTCCGTCCGGTGTTCAGCCCGAAGTGCCTCCGTCCGGTGTTCAGCCCGAAGTGCCTCCGTCCGGTGTTCAGCCCGAAGTGCCTCCGTCCGGTGTCCAGCCCGAAGTGCCTCCGTCCGGTGTCCAGCCCGAAGTGCCTCCGTCCGGTGTCCAGCCCGAAGTGCCTCCGTCCGGTGTCCAGCCCGAAGTGCCTCCGTCCGGTGTCCAGCCCGAAGTGTCCAGCCCGAAGTGCCTCAGCCCGAAGTGCCAGTCTTTGATATCCCGCCAGTCACCGGACCCGGGCGGTGGAACATTTTGCCCAGCTAGGACTGTTTGGAGCGTCCTGAGGCCGCTCCTTGAGGGGGGGGGTACTGTCAGGCATGGACTTGCCAATAGTGGTGGGACTCACCTGCCTTGTGAGCTGCAGTACCAGGGCTGGCCAGTGGGTGCTCTCAACAACCAGAGGTTCACTTCGGCAATTAGCCATCACCTGGGGCTGATTGCAGGGGTTGTATTTAAGGAATGGCCAGACCTGCAGTCTGTGCCTTGGTGTGTGTTTTTCCATGGGCCCCTGTATCTTGTAACCTGCACTCCTGTTCCTGTTTCTCTTTCTGCCTGACTTGTTGCCGACCCTGCCTGATCCTGACCTCTGCTGACTTCTCCTGTTTGATCCCTGGCTTGTGACCCTGACCATTCTCTCTGCCTGCTCCTCCTGTACCTACCTGCCCGATAGTTATCGACCCGGCCTGCCTGACTACGTTGTGCTCTATATGTGTATGTACCTGTGTATCTATATCAGTTTAGGTTTGGGTTTGTTTCACCTTGTTGTATGTATTTGTGTTAGCTTGGGGTTTGGTGCACTGCGTTTATATTTGTATTGTTAGTCTCAATAAATTATATTATTTACTATATCTGAAGCCTACGTTTCCCTGTGTCAGTCCACACATTTCTGGTCACACCCGCATCCCTGACAAGCTGATTGGTTACCATGCACGGCTGCACCAGCTTCTAACCTTACCTTGTTCAATTAAGGCAGGGCCTTCCAGCTGCTTAACCGCTTTAGCGCCGCCCCAGGGCAGTAGCTGTGTGCAAACTCATGTGTGTGTTTTTTATATATATTATATTATATATATATATATATATATATATATATAAAATGTGATTTTGCATTTTCGGGTAGGGGGCACGTGCCAGTTTTGGAATGAAACACAGTGCTGCTTCTGTCACTTTTGATTTAAATGTAGTCAATATCATTTGTAGGTAGCTGTTTGCAAGAAATGTAGTCATTGTAGGCATTTGTGAGAGACGTATACAAACATGTGATTGTATTGCAGTTATACAGAACTATTCACAGAGATAAATTCAGTTTTGGAATGAAACACAACACTGCTTCTGTCACTTTTGTTGCTATCTGACCGCTTTTAGTAGGACAGCATATGCATAGTGTTAAATATTGTTAATCATGCAACATGAGTGTCCATAAAAAAATCGGACTGAAATGTCTGTTAATAAATATATAAACCTTTCAAAATCTTAGGTCCAAAACATCATAAAAAACATATGTGTTCTCTGTATTTCTTCAAATAACCTCAGTTGGAATCTTTGGAATTGTACTTTCAGGACAAACACACCCAAGTGCCAGTGTTTCCCACACCCAGTGCTGTGCTAAAATGACTCAATAGAGGTTTTTGACCTTGAATGTAATAATGTCCTAAGAAGCTCTCTTCAGTCACAAACTCTTATATATACTGTATGTATGTCTTTCTTCAGAATTTGCTCATTGTGGAATTAAAGTGGTTGTAAACCTCAGGCATGAAATTTTATCAAAGCATATCCCTCTATAGTGCGTACTTGTCTCAGTCCAGAGTACTAAGTGTCTCTTTTGTCTGCTGCTTCATTCCTCTGCTATCAGCATGAAGCACTTCTGACAAGGTTTCCTGACACCATGAGAAAAATGGTGACACAGGAGCAGTGGTGTATTTAGGTTTCCTGCTGCCCTAGGCAACACAAAAATCAGCTCCCCCCACGGAGAGACCCTGACACCAACCAACACCCCCCCCCCCCAAGAAGGGAGCCTGACATTAACCAACAACAACCCCACCCAAGAGAGCCTTCTACTACACCACCACCACCCCATACACTGACCACCCCACCTCCACCCCAGTGAGAGAGAGAAGACACTCACCTTCACAGCTCCGGACACATCCCGGGAACAAGAGTCGGGCTCTGCATACACTGTCAAGCAGCCTGCATCCTCTCTCGGATCCCACCTGGTCTCCATGCTGCGTTTGCCCTTCTTCCATTCCTTCTTCCTGGGGGCAGCGCTGCCCCCCTGAAAAATGCAGCCTTAGGCAATGCCTTGTTTGCCTTGTGGTAAATACACCCCTGCACAGGAGGCACCTCCAGCTGATTGACAGTCTTAGCTCTGTTCCTGTCTGCTGTGTGGAGGGGGATGTGTCCTTTTCACTCCAATCAGCTGTCAGAGCTCCCCTCACTGAGCTCTGCAGAGTGTGACTGCAGCTCTTCGGCCCCTTTTTTATTTCAGCACTTTGATCAGATGTGGAGAAGAGAAGGCTACAGATAGACACATACAACTTACAGTATGTAAGGGGATTTGTTTTATCTCTGTGTATCACCTGAGGGCAGTCACTTCATTCATATGTGAGAGTTTACAACCACTTTAAACCCCCCCACCAAAAAAAAGAGAGGGGTTGGTACTCCAAATAGTGTTATAACGGTTAAAATATTTATTCTAAAAAAACTAAAACCACGGCACTCACATTATTAACCTCTTCCTGTCCGGCCCATGTCGACAAACGGCCAGACGGGAGCGCTGCCCATGTGGGTGGACATTTCTAAACATCCCCCCGCATCCTTTGCCTGTGCGTGCTCCCTACGATTGGTGCCCGCTGTGTCCGGAGATCGCTGTACGGGACCTCTGTGTGAGGTCCCGATTCATGTGATCACTGATTGGCAATCAGTGATCAGTGATTCACATGATCACATATAGTAGTAAACAAGATGTCATTTCCTGACATCATTGCTTACTACTTGTGAAATCTCTGAATGATCACAGAAGTCACATGGTACAAGGCTATTCACATGACGTCCTCCCAGAACGAGAGAACCGCTGCCTTCCCATCATTTCCTTATATTGCAGGCAGGAGGTGGTTAACAGCCCCATAAAAGTGATTACGTTTCTGAAAACCCTTTGCTGGCTCCTAAGGTCATACCGATATGATTTCAGGTGTGATTTGCACATTGAAATTGCACCTGAAATCGCATCTGACGAATGTGAATGTCAGTGTCTTAACATGTGCGATTTGCTGCAGCGTGATTTCTAAAGTTGTTCTTGCATTACTTCTGTCTGCAGTTTTGTTGCGATTTCACATACATAAAAAATAATGGAAATTACACTGCAAATTGCAAGAAATTATTGAAAATCTTCACAAGTAGCAACCTTTTTTTTTTTCAACCTTTATTCTCACCTGGTGATCCGGCCAGTAATTCTGTTATTTTCCAACGTCCCTTAATAGACCAAGCTTTTCAGCAAAAGTGGCAGTTAGACTGCAGAGTCAAACCATTAAACACTGAGAGGGATGCTTACAATGGTCAGTTTTTATTCATTTATGTAAAAAGGTAAAAATTCCTTTTAATCTGTTAGGCTACTTTCATACTACTCCACTGAAAAACAGATTAAAAAAACGTTTTTGCTGCAGAGCGTTGCTTTTTTATTTTATGTGTTTTTGATGCATTTGAGTTGCATTTTTCCACACTGGGTAAAGCACTTCCCACAGGTTTGTTGCGTTTTTGATGCAGTTTCCATTCATTTCAATGGAGAGATGCGTTTTTGGTGCAGTTATTTTAACTGAACAAACATGCACCAAAATGCAGCAAGCAGGATTTTTTTCAACACAACTGAAGCACACAGTGTGAAGAGTACCATAGGATTTAAGGGGATGCAGTTTTTTTCTGCTTTTTTTTTTTTTACTGACGAACACACCAAAAGTGGATCAGTGTGAAAGCAGCCTTAGCCAAAAAAATAGCAAAGTGCATTAAAAAAAATGCACAGGAAAAATGTATCAAATGCAATCTGCATAGATGTGAACCTAGCCTCCAGAGTGGAGACACTTTTTTTTTTTTTGGTTTGGTCAAAAAAACGTTCATACTTTGGACGCATAAAGTCGCATGACAAGTCACAGCTCATTGACTTCAATGGCACCCATTCAAATCGGTGTGATTTAAAGTTGCAATGACTTTGAAAAGCTGCCTGCACTAGTGTAAAGTCGGATCAAAGTCTCACTTAAAGTTGCGCTCTAAATTGCGCGTCTTTGGAGTCGCACTAGTGGGAACATAGTGCTAACATTTTTTGCACTTGGAAGATTCCATTATGACTTACAGTGTTACTAAACCCACAACAGTAAAATCAGTCTGTATATGCAGTAAAGCATGCTTCTTATACTCACTGTGGAACCCAAGGGGTTAATCCTCTGCATTGTGTAAATACACTGTTTGATCCTGTCTTCTCTGATCCTCCCCTTCTTCCAGTGTACCCTTCTTATCTCCTGATAAGGCTCCATGCACACTGGGTGTTTTAATAAAGCTGGAAAAGTCACGTAAAAAAACATGTTTTTCAGCGTTTTTTAGCTTTCATATATTAGCGCTTTGCCACGTTTTTTCACGTTTGCGTTTTACAGGGTTTTTTAACGAAAAAATTTTTTTCTAGACAAAAAAGTCCAAAAACAACGCCTTCCCCCCCCCCGCCCCCCCCCACGCCCCCGCCCCCCACAAAACGACACCCCAAACGCTGGTTTGCCACAATTTGCCGCATTTTTCAGTGTTAGAGCATTTTACAGCTACAAAACTAGAAACCCTGGGGGATAACATGCTGGGGAGTTTACTCGCTGTAGAAAAAAAATGAAAAAGCCAAAAACAGCTGCTGTAAAAACGTCCAGGGTGCAAGAGGAATAAGACATATCATGTGGAGTCACTCTGCACATGCTCAGTTTGGTGTGTATTGCTATAGAGGTTTTTTTGTTTTCTTGTGAGAGTGCTTGTGATCAGCACAGGGCCAATCAGCACTGTCCAGATAGAGGTCAGGGGTTCTGCATCCTCCTGGAGCAGAATAAAAACTCTTCCTACAAGCTTTAACCAGTGCTCTGCTGAACACTGATAGAAGTCACAAGACTGCTCTAAATACTGATGAGAAAAGGTATTTATCAGTTTATATTTACTAAAATAATTACATTTCCATGTTCTGTGTACTGTGGGAGATCAGATATAGTGAATGCAGGGTCCTGGGTTTAGTAACACTAATTATTCACGTGGAATGTATGTTCCTTGTTAACCACTTGCCTGCCGGGCACTTTCACTCCCTTCCTGCCCAGGCCAATTTTCAGCTTTCAGCACTGTTGCACTTTGAATGACAATTGCGCGGTCATGCAACACTCATATGAAATTTTTATCATTATTCTCACACAAATAGAGCTTTCTTTTGGTGGTATTTACTTGCCACTGGGGTTTTTATTTTTTGCGCTATAAAGAAAAAAAGAGCAAAGAAATGTGAAAAAAAAAGGTTTTCTTTGTTTCTATTATAAAATTTTACAAGCAGGTAATTTTTCTGCTTCACTGATGTGAATTGATGAGGCTGCACTGGTACGCAGCAATGATGGGCACTATTAGGCAGCACTGATGGGGCAGCACTGAGAGGTAGCATTGATGGGCACTGATGAGGTGGTGCTGATGAGGTGGCACAGGTGGGCATTGTTGAGGAGGCACTGATGATACACTTATATGCAGCAATGATGGCACTGATAGGTGGCACTGACTGGCAGCTCTGACTGATAACACTGACTGGAGGCACTGACAGATGGCACTGACTGGCAACACTGCTGGGTGGCACTGCTGGGTGGCACTGGTGGGTACTGATGGGTGACACTGCTGGGCACTGATGGGTGGCACTACTGGGCACTAATGGGTGACACTGGTGGGTACTAATGGGTGACACTGCTGGGCACTGATGGGTGGCACTACTGGGCACTGATGGGTGACACTGCTGGGCACTGATGGGAGGCACTGATAATCAGTTCCCTGATTATCAGTGCAGATCTCCCATGTCACATTTGCCGGTTATTGGCAATACTTTCTTCACGCTGTGACAACATGAGGAAAGTGGAAAGTGCTGCCAATAACTGGCAACTGTATTTACATTGTGATCTGCTGTGTCATTGGACACAGCTGATCACGTGGTAAAAGGCTGCTGTGATTGACCTTTTGCCTAATCACGTGATCAGCTGTGTCCATGGGACACAGCGATTACCGAAAGTGCCAACATCCATGGATGACCTCCCAGAACTGGACGACCGCGCTGTAGCAGTCTTTTGGCTACAGCATGGTTGGGAAGCGGTTAACCACTTGCCGCCCAGCCTATGGTCAAATGACGGCCGAGCGAATATCTCATCCTTCCGGGAGGGCGTCATATGACATCCCTCCTGGATCGTGCTTTGCACGTGCCTGCAGGATTGCGCTGTGGCGAGATCTGTCACCGGCCATGTACCTCGGACACGGCCGATGACAGATCTGTATACCGGCCCCGTTACCAGTACCATGTGACCTGCTGTGACCAATCACAGCAGGTCACATGACAGTTGAAGACAATGGATGTCTTCCTTTCATGCCATCTATTGTATACAAGTGTGTCCAGCTGTGATTGGTCACAGTGATCACATGCACAGGCTGGGCCAATCACAGTCCATCTGTATCATGTGATTAGCCATGGCTAATCACAGCCAATCACAACAAAAAAACCTGAATGAATCGATTTCACTTAGTTAAATGCTTGCTTATAGCAAAGAAATTTTTTGCTATAAGCAATCAAATTGTGTAAAAAAGAAAAAAAATACTGATCACTTCCCCAAAGTAGTACAATGTTGCTATGGTAACATTATACTACTTTGGTCATAGTGTAATATGAAAAAAAATCTTTATAAAAAAGAGAAAAAAATGTAATAACATTTTTTTTTAAAAATTGTAAACAAATTATCAATTTTTTTTTTCGTACTGTCACCAGTGTCCCTAATCATCACCACACCAGGTATATGATGATGCTGTACTGCACTGGTGACAGTATGTAAAAAAAACAGTGAAAATTATTTTTTTAATTTCTTTATTTTCCGCATGACAAAAAAAAATTACACCTTCAAAAAACTTGCCATGCCTCTTATGAAGTACGTCGGACTGTCTACTTTGCTAAAAGGGGTCATTTGGGGGATATCTGTACTGTTCTGACATTCTTGGACCTCAAGAAATTAGATTGGCTGTCAGTACTTCAGGATTGATCAATATTCAGATATATCCCATAGTTTGTGAACTCTATAACATTCCTACAAACTTAATAATAAATACTGATTTGGGTTATTTTTCACCAAAGATGTATCAGAATACATCTTGGCCTAAATTTATGAAGAACAATTATTTATTTGCAAATTTTTATAACAAAAACCAAGAAAAACATAATTTTTTTTTCAAAATCTTCGGTCTTTTTTTGTTAATTTAGCAAAAAATAAAAACCCCAGTGGTGATTAAATATCACCAAACGAAAGCTCTAGTTGTGTGAAGAAAATTCCTAACATCATTGCTTACTATTTGTGAAATCTGTGAATGATCACAGAGGTTACATGGTACAAAGCTATTCACAACAGCCTTGTACCATGTGACAAGCTGTGACCAATCACAGCTCGCAAGGTATTTCTCAAAGGCTGCAGGAATACAGCCAGAAAAGGTGAAATGATTGATTTTACAGCCTTTATGGGTATAAAAGCAATCAGTGTAAAAAAAAAAAAAAAAATGTTCCTCACCCCCCACAAGTAGTACAGTGTCACTATGGTGACACTGTACTGCTAGGATGACAGTATGTAAAAAAAAAACCCCATAATAATATATAAAAAAAATAAAATAAAAATGTAAAAAATTTGAAAAAGTATAAATTTTGGTTATAAACTAATTTGGGTTATTTTATATTTTTTACTAAAAAGATAGGTGAACACATTTTGGCCAAGATTTATGAAGAAAGATTATTAATTTGCAAAAATTTTATAAGAAAAAATTGTTGTTTTCAAAATTTTTGGACTTTTTCATTTATATAGCAAAAAATAAAAATCCCAGTGGTGAATGAATACCACCAAAATAAAGTTTTATCTGTCTCAAAAAAATACTAAAAACTTCATATGGGTACAGTGTTGCATGACCGCGCAATTGTCATTCAAAGTGTGAGAGCGCTGAAACATTAAAGTTAGCCTGGACAGGAAGGGGGTAAACGTGTCCAGTATTAAAGTGGTTAAAGAACATTATTTTGTATCAAGTTGTTATGGGTAAAGTCCCGCTTTAAGTATAAGCAGTCTCACTTTTAGTGCTGCACTTTTTAAATTTGTATTTGTTTTTTTGTGGATTGATCCTTTGCTGTTCAGCTGCTTAGTGGATAGTTTCTACTCATTTGAGCTGTACAGGGCTTTTTTTAATAAAATTTTTGGTTGTTTACTTTTACAGAATGTTATACAGTATAGGACCTAAAGGAAAGCTGCTTGGAAGTTCCTATTTCTTCCAGCAACTGAGAATCCTTTCAATGGGTAATCCTCTCTGCTACAAATAGGTTGGAGAACACTCTCGGTCATCGACTATTATGGCCTGGCGTTCCCATGTTTCTCACAGACTAGGCCCTGCACGGATTGGCTGGTCAGGCCAGAGACTGCGGCGATACGCGGGGAGCGGGCTGTGAGCACTATGGACCGACTGGCCCCGTACAGAGGTGAGCGGGTGTACGGAAAACTTGTACGGACCGGAAGCGGTATCCGGGACTTGTGTGAGAAGCCCTGCCTGAGCGGAAGTGGTGGAGAGCGGCTGTACTATAACAGCTGGCTGTGGGATTGTATTGTTCGTCGTGAAGAGAAGGCTTGTGAATAGGATGGGATTGTGTGCTCCTCCAGTAATAATTGTGCCGTGTGAGGAGCACCGTGAAGGTGGGAGGGAAGGGTTCGTACAGTACGAGGATATTCAGAGGAAAGCCAGTCTGACTTGTGTCTTCTATAGTTGTCCATAGGAAGGCACGAAACCCATGTCCAATGAATGCAATGCACAGGCTTGGTTCACATTTACAGGTATAACCATGCACTGGTGCATAGGGCAGCCCATTCATTTCAATGGGTGGAAAAGAAACTCTGCAGAAAAAAAAATCACGCCATTGTGAACCGCATGGCACTCGGCAAAAACGTGTCACGTTTGCAGACGGAGGTGCCTCTAACAATTAAGGGATAAGTTCACCTTTTTGACAAAAATAATAAATGCGTGTTTTTTGCAGGTAAAAAAAAAATGTGCATTTATTATTTTTGTCTACAGGAGCCTGTAAAGCATTGCACCAGCGATCAGTAAATTTCTGATGCCATGCACGTCTCCTGCAGACCTGGCAGAATATCTATCTAAAAATATGAAAAAAATATAAAATAGTGCAGCGCTAAAAGATATATTAAAAGTACAGGTGTGCAACTAAGCAGATATACATATATAGATCAAGAAATATTAAGTCTTGAACTGATATAAAAGTTCATACAATCTTCAAAGGGAAACGCACCGTAGTTATACCTGTGTTTGTCATAAAATATATAAACACAGTTCATCAAATTGATCTCCTGATAATGCTGTTATTCCCAATAAGCTTGATATACTCAGGTGATTGTGCAAGAAATGGGTAAAGTGCGCACTCACCAGATGCGCTTAAAATTAGCGCGTTGTATCATATATATAGGTGATCTGCCAGGTATCCCTTCTCAAGGTAGGTCTGGATACAGCCTGGGGGTAGTCGGCTCTCCTTTATGGTTACTGGAAAAGACGGTCAGACAGGGTTCCTTTTAGGGAATGCGTGGGTCACCCTCTCTAAGGCATTGGGATGGTCATCGGGGGATCGCTTTTCTCATCAGCAGTTAGAGCAGTCTTGTGACTTTACCTGAGCACTGGTTAAAGCTTGTAGGAGCAGTTTTCATTCTGTTTTAGGAGGATGTGAAACCCCTGATCCTCTGTCTGGACAGATATATTTATCTGAAGGAGTTTGTTTTTTACCTCAGTGCAATAGCTGCTTTTATAACTTAACGCTCGCTTTATTTACATACTGTCAGAATATCTGCTTGCCATATGGGATGTAAGGTCAAGCAGACATACTGACAGGAAGCTTCAATGAACTACCACGGTGCTCCAAAGCTACATGGTAATTCATTGAAAACTACAAGCCAACAGTCGATTTTCAAACTATTTTTCATTCGAAAATCGGACCTAAGAATAATTGGCTGATTTTCTCTTAGTGAGGCAATGGCACCGTTCGATTTTCATGGTTCCTCCCCATTTTATCAGGCATGCTGTAAAATTTGTGAAAAACAACCGATTTTTCTAAATCATTTGTGGCACGATTGGATTACAGAATGAACAATGTTTTTGATTTTCGAACAAAAAATCTTTCCGAATTCGACCCATGTATGGCCTGCTTAAGGCTGCCGGAACTTGTAGGCACTCGTTCTCAAAATTCTGTGTATGAATGACACAGCTGTGTGGGTGGAGCCCTGCACGGCTGCACTATTTTCAAATCTGACAGTACCGGGAGAAGTTCCCTAGTACTATCTGTCGGGGCGGTGGGTGCGGCTGCAGCTATGAGAACATGTAACCTGTTCCCAAAGGTGAACTTATCCTTTAATGCAGGGGTCTCCAAACTCTTGAAACAAAGGGCCAGTTTACTGCCCTTCAAACTTTAGGGTGGCTGGTTTGTGGCCAGTGGGAGTAAACAATACCCTAGGCTTGGTGGTCAGTGGTAGGAAAAGTGCCCCATCGTTGGTGCCAGTGGGGTAATTAGTTCCCCATTTCTGGTGTCGGTGTCGGTCTCTAGTGGGTGGGAGGAACAGTCCCCCGTCTCTGGTGCCGGTGGGAGGAACAGTCCCCCCGTCTCTGGTGCCGGTGGGAGGAACAGTCCCCCGTCTCTGGTGTCGGTGGGAGGAACAGTCCCCCGTCTCTGGTCGGTGGGAGGAACAGTCCCCCGTCTCTGGTGCCGGTGGGAGGAACAGTCCCCCCGTCTCTGGTGCCGGTGGGAGGAACAGTCCCCCCGTCTCTGGTGCCGGTGGGAGGAACAGTCCCCCCGTCTCTGGTGCCGGTGGGAGGAACAGTCCCCCGTCTCTGGTGCCGGTGGGAGGAACAGTCCCCCGTCTCTGGTGGGAGGAACAGTCCCCCCGTCTCTGGTGCCGGTGGGAGGAACAGTCCCCCCGTCTCTGGGGCCGGTGGGAGGAACAGTCCCCCCGTCTCTGGGGCCGGTGGGAGGAACAGTCCCCCCGTCTCTGGGCCGGTGGGGAGGAACAGTCCCCCGTCTCTGGGCCGGTGGGAGGAACAGTCCCCCCGTCTCTGGGGCCGGTGGGAGGAACAGTCCCCCCCGTCTCTGGGGCCGGTGGGAGGAACAGCCCCCCCGTCTCTGGTGCCGGTGGGAGGCCGGTGGTGGGTGGGGAACAGCCCCCCCTCTCTGGTGCCGGTGGGAGGAACAGCCCCCCCGTCTCTGGGGCCGGTGGGAGGAACAGCCCCCCCGTCTCTGCCGGTGGGAGGAACAGCCCCCCGTCTCTGGTGCCGGTGGGAGGAACAGTCCCCCGTCTCTGGTGCCGGTGGGAGGAACAGGAATAATACTTCGTATCAGTGGAAGAAAAAGGTGCCGCAAGAGCCGGATAAAAGCAAGCAAAGGGCCACATCCGGCCTGCGGGCCGAAGTTTGCAGATCCCTGCTTTAATGGAACAGCCATGCATCTGCTAAATGGCTGCGCATTTCTCTGCTCTTCAGGAAAGTGCATGATTTGTATACAGTCTCGACATGCAGTAGTGTGACTAATGTGCAACATAACCAACTTGCACCAACACAGCAATTTTTTGGAGCTTTTTTTCTGGCTAATGTGTCAGGCATGCGCACAAAATTGCGCACTTTCCCCAAACAAGTAAAAACTCCTTGACATTTAGCAGACATGCAATTGGGGCCACATGTACACTAGTTTGTGTGACACCTTGTTCTACAGGAATTAAGCAGCAGAAAAATATGTGGTTTAAAAAAAACATGTTTTTGCATGTGCATTCACAGGTGTTTATGCGCATTAATGCGTCTGATGTTAATGCATTCAATTGGCCAGAATAGTCATTTATTCTGGCCATTAGACTGCAGTAATGTGCGTTAACACTTTTAGGCACTTTTGAGGTTTTTTTTTAGGCTCCATGCCCACTGGCTTAAAAAAAAGTGCTCACCGTAGCCTGTTTCACTGGCTGTCATCGCTCCCCAGCACCGGCGGCATATATTAGGGCACTTCCCTATCCAGGGATCCAGCGGTGTCCTCAGCCCGAGCCGATTCTGCAATCAGCTGTCGGATGCTGACGCCACCATCTTGGCTAAGGGAAACCAACAGTAAAAACTTGCAGCTTCACAGCCAGTTTCCTACTGCACATGTGTAAAGTATGCTGCACATTGTGAATGGGCCACAGTGCTCTGGGACCTGTAAAATGTCCCAGAGGGCTGCGAGGGGGGATCCAAACTTCCAGCTCAATTTGCTGTGGCAAACTGAGCTGGAATTGGAGGCAGGTACGTGTCAAAACCAGGTATCCGTTCACCCCTTCCCACCCAAAAGGTGCCAAATGTGGCAGCTGAGGGGGTGGGGGGTGCAGATAGGCGGAGCTTCCACTTTTTTTGGTGGAACTCTGCTTTATGTCTGGGCACCATGCTGCGACAGCTTGCAACTTCACAGAAGGATGCCCACTGTACAAGCGCGAGTAGCCCTGTGCCTTGTGTATGGTTCTGTTACATGTCCCAAAAGACTACGGGGGTGGAGGGGCAACCTCAACTCAACTTTGTTGTTTTTTTTTTTCCTTCCTCTAAACCTATGTAAATGCCTGTTTGTGCATGGACACATAGGCTAACGTGTAGGGGAGTTTAGAGGCAAAGAAAAATACACAGACACTGTAAATGCAGTTTTTTTTTTTTTTTTTTTTTTGTTTTTTTTTTAGTTAAAATGTGCGAGAGCCCTAATTGGTAATGGCACCCCTGCATCTGGAAACGCACCATTATTTTGCATGTGCCAAACCGCATACTGCTGCAGCATCATGCGGTTCGATCCGGCCTGCTTTTGTAAAAGAATTGGACCTCTATTCTGTGGTTTTTTTTTTTTTCTTTAAACACTGAAAAAAATTGGCTTCCCTTTATGCGATGCACAGAAATGTGAAAAAACACACAAAAAGGAACGATTCACACCCACAGGTGTGGGAACATTTTTTTTCCAGGCTTTATGTTTTTAACACATGGAAAAAGCTAATTATTAGGAGATGACTGTTTAGGCTAGGTCCACTCCAACTGCTGAATTGCAGCGTGTGAAAGCATGCACAATTTATCACATGTTAATGTTCGCTGCATTAAACAGAATGGGCTGGCACATACCTGAGAAGCCCATAAATCAAATCTGCACCTTTTTTGAAAGTGCTTTGCACAGCAGCATACAGTGCTCAGCATAAATGTGAACACCCCAGCAGATTTGTCAGAAAACCTTTATTTTCCTTTCAGAATCAACATTTTCTATGGGACACTATACAGTACTACAAAATACTCCCACAAATGCTGGGCCATTGATTGCAAACAAGATTTGTTAATTTGCACACACAAAAAAGTATTTTTCCTAATAAATTCATTCAAAACCATGTTGCAAAAATGAATACACCCCAATGAACGTCTTAGGCTACTTTCACACTGAAGAGTGTTTCAAGCGTTTTTGCGTTAAGAAAAAAATCAATTAAGCAGGTAAAAGATTTGGAGTTGATTCTAAGTGTGGTATTTGCATTTGGAATCTATTTCTGTGAACCTACATCATGCATTCAAAGGAGCTGTCCATGCAAGTGAAACAGGCCATTGTAGGGCTTCAAAAACTAAACAAATCCACCAGAGAGATAGCAGCAACATTAGGAGTGGCCAAATCAACAGTTTGGTACATTCTGAGGAAAGAAGAACACACTGGTGAGCTCAGCAACATAAAAAGGCATGGAGGTCCACGGAAGACAACAGTGGTGGATGATTGCGGGATCCTCTCTATGGTAAAGAAAAACCCATTCACAACATCCAGACAAGTGAAGGACATTCTCCAGGAGGTGGGCGTATCATTGTCAAAGTCTACAACCAAGAGAAAACTTCACAAGAGCAAATACAGAGGGTTCACCACAAGGTGCAAACCATTAATAAGCCTGAAGAATAGAAAAGCCAGATTAGACTTTGCCAAAAAACATCTAAAAAAGCCAGACCAGTTCTGGAAAAGCATTCTTTGGATGGATGAAACTAAGATGAATCTGTTCCAGAGCGACAGGAAGAAAAAAGTGTGGAGAAGGCCTGGAACAGCTCATGATCCAAAGCACACAACGTCATCTGTAAAACATGGTGGAGGTAGTGTGATGGCATGGGCATGCATGGTCATTGGTGTTTATTGATGATGTGACAGAAGCAGCCGGTTGAATTCTGCAGTGTGTAGAGATATACCTTCAGCCCAGATTCAGCCAAATGCAGCAAAGTTGATTGGATGGCCCTTCACAGTACAGATGGACAATGATCCAAAACACACTGCAAAAGCAACCCAGGAGCTTTTGAAGGAAAAGAAATGGAATTGTCTGCAATGGTCATATGAATCACCTGATCTTAACCCAATTGAGCATGCATTTCACTTGCTGAAGGCAAAACTAAAGGCAGAAAGACCCACAAAGAACAACTGAAGACAGCTGCAGTTAGAGCCTGGCAAAGTATCAGAATGGAGGAAACCCAGTCTTTGGTAATGTCCATGGGTTCCAGACTTCAGGCAGTCATTGCCAGTAAAGGATTCTCAATAAAGTATTACAAATGAACATTTTATTTATGATTATATTCAATTGTCCAATTTCATTTGGTTCCTTGAAAAAGGGGAGATGGCTACTCTTAAGAGCTGTAATTCCTAAACCCTTCCTCCAATTTGGATGTACATTCCCTCAAATTAAACCTGCACTTTCAGCCCATATCCATTATATAACTATAGCTTGAATATGTTTTAGTATATACCTGAAAAAATCTAAAATTGTGCCTGTGTCCAAATATATATGGACCTCACTATGTGAACACACACGCATAGCTTCAAATACTCAAGGGAGAATCAGGGCTTCCACAAACCCATTCACACCTTAAAAAAAAAAAAAAAAGAGTGTACTATATTTTTTTTATTTTTTTGCAACACTGGACACTACAACACTGTTTTGTTGTGAGCTGCAGCATGTTGTTCAGCAGGGTGCCATTCAGAATGAATCACATCCCATAAACACTCATAACACATTGCTTCAATGATGCCAACAAACCTGCAGCTTTTTTTTGTCAACACAGCACACAGATGGTTCACATGTGTGGGTTATTGTGTACTGGCCTTCAAAATGAGATGGCATTCAAAATGAATGACAAACCACCACGTAGTGTAAAAAGGGCTTTGTGTAGTCTAGTGATGATATTTCTTTCGCTGGTGGCAAATCATCACTAAGAAATTTGCTTAGGATCCATTTAAATACTTTGCTGAGAAGTGTATTTTAAAAGGCATTACCATAGTATGCATTACCTCTATGATATGTGTGCAAATACAACACACTTGAAATAAGAAATTCATACAGTAATGCAACACACAGCTTGAGTTGGCTGTAAAGAGGCTATGCACCTACTCTAAGGGTATATCACACCACATGTGGTCAGACTGCGTTGGGTGGCTATTCCAGCGCATTCCCACTGCATGGACAATGCCTTGTCTCTTATGTGCCTCAGTCACACCACTGTGGTGGGCATAGTGTGCTGAGAAAAAGTACTGCATGCAATACTTTTATCAGTGGGATGAGAATCCACTGCCTCGCACCCCACTGTCAACAATTAAACTTTATGAGATGTCTTTGTGACATCTCAACAACATTTTTTTTTTTTTTTTTTTTTTTTTTAAGCAATAATACGGTCTGCTGAGTTTAGCGCATATTCTGCTGGTCTCAGCCAGATCACACTGCAAATCAGCTGCTGCACCGCAATAATGCAGCGGCTGGTGTGAACCAGCCAGTTTTACTCCCTCACAGACCAACACGGTGAAGAATCAAGCTTGCCTACAGGTGAGCCAAGACACCGTGCTTGTTTGGCTAGGAAAGCAACATGACAGCAGTTGGTAAGAGTTATAGCTGCTTTAATAGCATTTATGTTGCTGGAAAGTTGCCACCAACAGCAGGATTCCTTATCTGACATGGGCTTCAGGCTTGTAGTGTGGTCAAGGCTTTCATCACCACAAAAGCCTTTTTTCTGAGCTATGATGTTGTATTTGAAGAAAATCTGTGTCTCAAAATGAACCATAGGAAGCAGCTAACACCTTGTGTCTTCCATTAAATAAATGCTACCTGATGGTGCCTGCTGTTGCTCCAAATGTCTTACAGAGTGCCTCTAGACACCAGAAAATTGGTGCACTTTTCTATGATCATGTCTGTAGCCCACTTCCTATTGGCTCTTTAGTCCTCATGCACACTAGACATTTTTACAGTTGTTTTTAGGGGGTCTGGCATTTCATTTTTTTTATTTACTAAAGCTGGAGAGTGCAAAATCAGGCTCATTTCTGCATAGAAACCAATCGGCTTCTAGCCTCAGATTGTTTAATTAAGCTTTGGTAATAAAACCTTGAAGCTGATTGGTTTCTATGCAGAAGCAAACCTGATTTTGCACACTGCAGCTTTAGTAAATAAACCCCTATGTGTCCATGCACACACAAACTTTTAGAGGTGTTCAGAGGCAAGAGTGTTTAGAGGCAGGGGAAAAAACCCACTGCCAGCGCTTCTAGTAGCAGAAGAGTTTTGGCAGAGAAAATACTTGGCCAATTAAATGAATTAACGCCCAAATGCTTGACACTGGTAAACAAGGATAAACCTCTAGTGTGCTACTAGAATAGTGTAGGCAAATCTGTTGTATATGACTCATGGTAACTGTGTGAGTCTGTGATTAAGGTCAGGTTACAGAACGTCAAGCTGGGTGGCTTAACAGGTTGGGAATCTATCACCTCCACCTGGTTCTGGAGCACCATTGGAACCTTCCAGAAGACAGCAGGCAGAGGAGTTCGAGACCTAATCTGCATGTTTATGGGAGTCTAAACAATCCCAGGTTTGGAGGCCCTAGTAGAGTGGGCCAACCCATAAAAATGGGATAGTCAGGCTGGCTAGAGAGCTGGGTGGAAGATGGAGTGATGAGGAGACTGTTGGTGGTCTGGGAGGGGTCCCCTAGATTTGGGGGGGGGGGAGGGTGGCCTCTAGGCTGGGCTCGGGCTGGCACAGGAGGAAAGCGAAACAAAAAAGAGAGTGCACCAACCTTGCGCATTACCTCAGTAAACCATAATTTTATTGAATACAGAATGATACTCACAAACAACGAAGTAAATCAAGCATGTAAGAGCTCTGATGAAGTAGGGATACCCTTTGAAACACGTCAGCGCACTCTTGAGTGTCTACCCCTATGATGTGACTCACACAGGCTTCACAGTTCTAAAGGTCCTTTGAGGACTTACATGCTTGAGGATCCATTCAGCAGTACGGCATGAACAGGATCAAGGCCTGGGAGCAAGGAGGACAGAGTGAGTACCTCAGCACAGCCAGGGATACATGTAGCAAGCTTTCAAAAGATAGAGCTGTACCTTGTCCTGGGAAATCTTCAGAATAGCCAGGAGGGCTGGTAGTGTCTGCAGACTGACCCCCACGGGTGAGCACACCGGTGGGGCAGCTAAAGTTTTTGTAGCTTCTGACTTTTAATTTTTACAAAAATGACTGGAGCTCCGCTTTACCTCGAATTCTGTAAAGTAAAAAACAAATTAAAATCAGTTGAAAAGTGTGCATGTCACTCTGAATACCGGTGAAGAATGCAGTATTTTGAATTAGGTCCACCGCAAACTGATCTTGGCTTTATTGGGATCCCAGGAGAAATCCCATCAGCAGAGCTACAAATGATCTTGTTTGGCTTTAGGTTCCCTGAATTGTGGCCATGCTGTCTACAGGTTTGCAATATTTTTCCTGTGGTTTTTGTGTTCGCTACATAGACATGCAGTTTATCTCTTCATTTACTGTTATTTTTGGCTGTTTTATTTAATACATGACTATTTGTTATGCCCTTTAGGGGATGCCTTTGATAAACCACCTTGCCGAGGCTGTTCTTCCTACCTTATGGAGCCATACATCAAATGTGCTGAATGCGGACCCCCAGAATTTCTGCTTTGTTTGCAGGTAAAATTTCCTTTTTTGCAGGTAAAATTTTCCTTTTAAAAACGCTTTCATACTGTCGCAGGGAAACATTTTAAGACCACACTGAAGGCAGTACTTTTGCTCGCTGCAGAGCCATGGTGCTGTGAATGGACATTGTCCTAAAGCAATCCTCTTGCTATGGGGGTCCTCGAGGAGGCTGTCTTCGAGTGCCCCCATAGCAAGAGGATTGCTTTTGGGGGCACTTGGCAGGTGGAAGAACTCAGGACCGCGGGGTCCCAAAAAGAAGAGGATCATGGCTGCCTGTGCAAATCTATTGCACAGAGCAGGTAAATATGACATGTTTATTTTTTTAAAAATATAAATCTTTTAGAATCATTTTTAAATCTGACATATTTTTGAAATCCTTGCATTTTTCCCTGTTGAGTAGTTACATATCATTTTATCGTATTTTCACGCTGTCTTTTTGTTTGTTTTTAGTGTTTCTCAAGAGGATTTGAGTACAAGAAGCATCAGAGTGATCACAGTTATGAGATCATGGTAGATAATTTTATTTTGATGATATGACATAATCATGTAGCTTAACCACTTAATCTCTGGAAGGTTTTATCCCCTTCATAACAAGAGCATTTTTTGCTAATTAGCACTGCACTACTTTAACTGGCAATTGTGCGGTTATGCAACATTGTACCCAACTGAAATTCAAATAATTTTTTCTCACACAAATAAAGCTTTCTTTTGGTGGTATTTGATCACCACAAGGTTTTTATTTTTTATTATATAAACAAAAAAAAATAACTTGTATTTTCTACATTCTGTTTATAAAACAAATCCAATAAAAAAATAATTTCTTCAAACATTTAGGCCAAGATGTATTCTGACACATCTTTGGCAAATAAAGTCCCAAAAAGTGTATAATAATTAGTTTGTGTGAAAGTTATAGCGTCTACAAACTATGGTATACAGTATATACTGGAATTTATGCACCTGTGACACTATACTGGTAATGGCGGTGATCAATGGCTTATAGTGGGACTGTTATATTGTGGCAGGCAATGTGGTGCTAGCTGACACTGGCTGGGAGGTACACTAACTGACACTAATACAATGATCATTTCTAATACTGTACACTGTCACTGTACTAATGGCACTGGGAAGGAGTTAACACCAGCTGGGAATTCAGCTTTAAAGGGTAGGTTCACCTGTTCATGAAAAGTTAAAACATGAACTAACTCCAAATATCCTAACCATCACTCCAGAGCTTACTGCACATAGCGGCCGTGCTACCAGTTTAGTGGTCCATAGAAAGTCCCTGGAGTGAGAATCCATCATTATGCTAGAAATGACAAGTGTTCACTGATCAGCGTGACCATGCTGACCAATGAGAAGCACATCTGAGCTACCTGCTTCCAGTATGGTGTTCCAGAAGAAAGAAGCACTTTGCATTCGTCAGTTGGTTCGCTGATCAAAGAGCTCTTGTCATTGCTAGCATGTGGAGATTGTTGTGTACAGTGTATGGACTGCTAAACTTGCAGTATGGGGCATAATGACCACTGTTTGCAGCAGCAGGGTCGGGGGGGGGGGGGGGGGGGGGGGGGGGGGGGGGGGGTGCCCAGGATATTTGGAGTTCACCTTTTAATTTTTTTTTATTTACCCATTAAAGGAACTAATGTTTACTTAAAGTATCTTTAAACATGATACACCTTACCTTTTTGGTGCCCATTCTGCCAAATACTGCTCCAAAGGTACTGTTGGAATTTCTTTCAAGATCAATGTTTCTGGGATTGTCAGTCTTCAGATTCCCCTAATCAATGACTAGAAAGTCAGCAGGAGAAACCACTGAGAGCTGGCAGTGACCCAAGAGACTGATACTTTCAGATATGTTGAACATGGAAAAAATTTCAGCAGTTGATTATTCCACATCAGAACAGTGTTTGGCAGAAGGCAGCTAGAGAATTAGCTAAATTAATTATGTATTGAGAAAAATGTGATGGCTACTATTCCTATGTAATCTGATAAATCTAAAAACATATATAGTGGTCCCTGTTTTTATTTATTTATTTATTTTTAAATAGACCTGCGATTTTCCAGTACTGGATCCCAGCTGGACAGCTCAGGAGGAAATGGCTCTGCTAGAAGCTGTGATGGACTGTGGATTTGGAAATTGGTAAGTGTTTTTAATTGGTAACACTAAAGGACTAATTATGAGAGTGCAGGATTTCCTGGAGTAGTCGAAATTTGCACATATCATCTACTCTATATCGCTAAATCTACTGCTCTGTTTGATATGCAGATATTGTTGATGGCAATCGTAGCTGGTATATTTTTACATTCTATGGTCAGTTTGAAATTTTCAGGTGTGTAACAGTTTACTATAAAGTGGAACACAAAGCAAACTATATACACTCTTGAAGTACATATTCCAGTTTGTGAACTATTTTACGTGAATTGATATGTAATTTTGTTCAACCAGTCTTGTGCTTTCCACTTCTATAAATTATCTAAAGCAACAGAACAATGGGGAGGGGGAGATTTATCAAAATGGAGCAGCTACACAAGGCAACCAATCAGCTTTTATCTTCAGCGTGTTCAGTAAGCTTTGAAAGTGATAGATAATGTTAGGCTGGTTGCAATGTACAACTGCTCCAGATTCATAGACCTGAATGAGTACCATTTTAACAAGTGCATTTTCTGGACAGTAAAGCAAGACATTACAAAACTGCAGACAACTGATGTGTAGATGTGATAGCACTGGAATAATTGGGGTAAGGTATCGATATTATTGGATATATCTTAGTATTCAGTCCTCCTTCACAGGGGCTGATGTGCAGTGGAGGTTCTGTGCAGATTGATCTTGTTCTGATCTTGGGCTGGTGTCTCTCTGACGGTGTCTCGGAGAACCCTCACCGAACACAAAAGTGAATGGCGTAACTCTGAGGTCGGTATTGAGGAGTGCCCAGTACAAAAGTTTGACACAAAAAGGTCAAATTGATGTATTTATTGAATAAAGGTATCAAACAAAGCCAACGCATTTCAAGGGAAATGCCTCCCACTTCCTCGGGGCTGGAGTGCAGAAAAGTGGAATGTGACGTAACTCATAACAGGTATATAATATAAAATTGATCACGATAGGTATACCTAGATGTAGCTATTTGTTGAGATGCTGCTGTAAAATGTAGTAATAATAATAAATATAATAATGAATATTAATTACTACTATTAGTAGGTAATTTTGAAATTGATGGCAGCAACATGTCTCCAAAAAAAGGACAGGGAAACAAAAATCTGGCAAAGTAAGTGGTTCTAACAAGGAAGAGCTGGAAGAACATTTTGCAACTAATTAGGTTAATTAGCAACAGGTCAGTTGGGTATAAAAAGGGCATCTTATTGAGTCAGAGGGGGAGAGTTACTAAACCTAGAGCACTCAGAATCTGGTGCAGCTGTGCATGGTAGCCAATAAGCTTCTAACCTCAGCTTATTCAATTAATTTTTAGCAATAAAACCTGGAAGCTGACTGGTTTCTATGCAGAGCTACACCAGATTTTGCCTTCTCCAGTTTTAGTAAATCTCCTGCAGTGTCTCTCAGAAGTAAAGATTGACTGAATTTCACAAGTTTGTGAAAAGCTGCTTCTAAATATTGTTGAACAATTTCAGTATAATGTTCCTCAATGTAAAATTGCAAAAACTTTAAATATATCATCATCCAAGAGCCAAGGACCACTTATGGAGAGCCTCAGAAAGACCTGGAAATAACAGGTGCAATTGTTTCAAAGAAAACCAAAAGTAGCGCATTCTACCGCCGTCGCCTGTATGAACTTTCACCACGCAAGACTCCATTGCTGAAGAAAAAGCATGTTGAAGCTCGTTTAAGGTTTGCTGCACAACATTTAGACAAGCCTGTGAAATACTGGGGGAATACAGTCTGGTCAGATGAGACCAAAATTGAACTTTTTGGCTGCCATAATACACATCATGTTTGGAGGTCAAATGGCACTGCACATCACCCCAAAAACACCATACCAACAGTGACGTTTTGGAGGTGGGAACATCATGGTGTGGGGCTGTGTTTCAGCATTGGTACTGGCAAACTTCATGTCATTGTAGGAAGGATGAATAGAAAAATGTACCAAGACATTCTTGATAAAATCTGCTGCTATCTGCCAGGATGATGAATATGAAACGAGAGTGGACATTTCAGCAAGGCAATGATCCCAAACACAAAGCCAAGGAAACTCTCAACTGGTTTCAAAGAAAGAAAACAAAGCTGCTAGAATGGCCCAGCCAATCTCCTGTCTTGAATCCAATAGATATTATATGGAAAGAACTAAAGATCAGAGTTCATAGAAGAGGCCCACGTAACCTTCAAGATATGAAGACTGTGTGGAAGAATGAGCAATGCATGCGACTAGTTTCTCCATACAGGAGGTGTCTTGAAGCTGTCATTACCAGCAAAGGATTTTGTATGAAGCATTAAATACATTTCAGTTAGCATCTTCAATCCTTTTCCCGTGTGTTATTCCATTGTATTAACTTAGTGTTACTAAACCTACAACAGTAAAATCAGTAAAGCATACAGTGGGGATCGCGAAAATTTGGGCACCCCAGCTAAAAATTTGTATTAATGTGCATAAAGAAGCCAAGGAAAGATGGAAAAATCTCCAAAAGGCATCAAATTACAGATTAGACATTCTTATAATATGTCAACAAAAGTTAGATTTTATTTCCATCATTTACATTTTCAAAATAACAGAAAACAAAAAAATGGCATCTGCAAAAGTTTGGGCACCCTGCAAAATTTGTAGCATGCACTGCCCCCTTTGCAAAGCTGAGACCTGCCAGTGTCATGGATTGTTCTCAATCATCGTCTGGGAAGACCAGGTTATGTCAATCTTTTTGAAGCTCCGTAAGCTCTTGACACAACAGCGCATGCAGTGAATGAGGAAAGTGAGGTTTCCCACCTGTTAACTAGGTGTGTCATCACATCAGAAGCAAGAGTGTTACATTACCTCCACTTTCAATGCAAAATATGTGGTCACTTTCACACCTGAAAATCATTGTTTCCATTTTTTTTTTTGTCTAACCCTTGTAAGTATAAACCTATTTATTATTTAATTTAGAAAAAAAAATCTGACATTACAACTGATTTAGTACAAAGCAACAAGCTGTGACAGAGTATTGTACAACTGGATAAACTAGGGGTCTCCAAACTTTCCAAGCAAAGGGCCAGTTTACTGTCTTTCAGGCTTTATGGGAGCCGGACTGTGACCAGTTGGAATGGAAAGTTTCCTGCTATCAGTGCTCCATCATTGGTTTTTAATTGGAGGAATAGTGCCCCATTGTTTATCAGTGAGATGAATGCTGCCCCATTGATGGTGTCAGTAAGGTGAATTGTGCCCCATCATCGGTGTCAGTTGGTGGATAGTGCCCTAAGGGCAAGCAAAGGGCCACATCTGGCCCCCAGGCCACAGTTTGGAGACCTTTGGGATAAACTTTTGCATCTCTACACCATTATTTCTGCAAGGGTGTGAGCTCAGTGGGAAAAAGTGCCTTGCACTGTGGGATCAATTGCAAAATGTCGTTATGCCTCAGCCAATGCAAGATATGTGGGACAAGGTTGCTAATAAATTTTTGGAGAAGACTCGGTTTCCCAATTGCATAGAAGCCCTGGACAGAAAACACGTTCAGGTGAAAATGCCACCCAAATCCGTTCAAGGTATTTTAATTATAAGAAATACTTTTCCATAGTTCTTTTAGGATTGATGGATGCTCACCTGGAATTTTATATGCATTGACATGGAAGCCTAAGGGAGTCAGGGGGATGCAAGAATCTTCCAAGAGTCTGATGCGGTATCAGCTATATGAGGGACTTCTCGGGATTCCCGCAAGGATCCTAGTCTTCCACTTGTGATTTGTAGCTAACAAGGCTTTTGGACTTGCTGAACCTGCTCTCTTAACCCCTGCAGAGGATATTCAGTTAATGGACGTGCACTCCACTTCTCAAGTTATGAACATTAGAATTCAGTTTGCTGGGTTTTTATTTTTTTTTCATTTCGGCAGATGGTCAAGTGACCTGGCAATGTCAATATGTCTAGTTGGATTTCTGATTCCAGTTACCTTTTGAATGTTAGCAAATGTCCAGGTGCTTCATAAAATCTTTTTTTCTTTGAATAAAGTTTTTCAAATTATCTTTTTTGTAGTTTTCTTCTCTTGCAGCAAGGTTGTGTCTTTTTCATCTGTGTGAGGTAAGGCATCCATTCTCAGAGAATAGATGCATTATTCCACACGCAAGAGAATGTGTGATGTAACATGTAACTCAAAAAGAACCTTATTTATCTATTTTTTTTTTTAATTTTTAATTTTGAAAGAAGGCAGTTTTTGAATGCAAAAATGCTGTGGCCACAACATTTGACAAAAAGCCACAACAATTGGCCAAAAAAAGCATACAAAAAGTAACACATAAAAATGTAAATTGGTGGTAAGGAAAGAGTGATGGTGGCATACCCCTCCTATGTGCTGCCCTGGAGGCCAACACAAAGGCATAGATGCTATCCATGCATTGCTTTTCCTAATCCGCATCAAATTCCCTACAAGCCCTTTTATAAGCTGTGGCAGAATTGGGGAATATTCAGGTTGAGGAAAACATCATTCTGTTTCCTCTCTTGCCTGATATCCCCACGTAGCTCAAGTATTCATTCTTCCACTTTTGTGGTCATCTCTTGCCCCTGCTTACACTGATGATGCACATGTCCACAACCTCTGGGAGATGTTGTGCATAGATGAGTAGGCTTTGAAGAAAGGAAGACAATGTAAGTATTAATAAGGGAGATAGATAGACAGACGAAAAAGAAAGATACCTAATGAGGTGGCATATCCATGCTTTCAACCTCTGAATGAATCGGCATTGGTGCAGTTGTGGCTGTTTGATGGACTAGCCTCCTCCTTCCATATTTTCCTTATTTTCCTCCCCTTCCTCTGGCTGATGTATTGGCCTGTTAGATGTTGTGTACTAAAAAAACTATTAAACATTATTTAAAAAAAAGAACAAAACAGAAAACATTTTTAATACAAAAAAGTATAAAAAAAAATACAACAAAATTGTAAAATACAAAATTTTTCTTTATAAATTGGTAATGATACAAATTTTAAAAAATATATAAAAAAACACTGCTACAATCCACTCCCTCCTTTTGAATAAATGTAATAATTTATACTCCCTCATGAAACCAAGCTTTGCAGCCATAGACTGTTGCCTGTGTTTGATTGGGGCTCCACTCTTCTGTACTTTCATTTCCTAATTTAAATCTGTATGCACAGTGTTGTGCAGGGACTGCCACCATGTCTGGAGGATGTCAACTGAGGGAAAAAACCCCCCCCACAAAAACAGGGTACATAAGCATACATACTGCAAAAAAACATAAAATCGTGACAAAAAAATGTACTTGCGGTGATCCTTCTTCTCCCTGTGTGTAAGACCATCCTGATCCTCAGTCAGCATTACAGCTGCGATCAACTATAACTGGCTCACATCCCTAGCCATTGTGTCTCTTTCTGCGTACACCAGGGTGGGGTAAGGTCACAAGGAACTTCCTTTTTATACACAGGACTTGACCACTAAACTGTAAAAATGTTCCTAAAGGCAAGAAGTGTTCTATTTTTAAATCCTGGCCTCAACTGTCAGTTCTATTTTTAAATCCTGGCCTCAACTGTCTGTTCTAACAATTGAGGCCAGGATCTAAATATAGATCACACAGTTGAGCCCAGAATACAGAGTCGTGACTACTTCTAGCCATGTCAGCATAGCAGCAAGAAGTAGCAGTGTAGTAGCGACCATATTGGCATACATACTATACATTTTAGCTTAGTGAATTGCACTTTGGTACTATAGGAGACAACTGCCAGTCTGTATAACTATAATGAATGTGTCATAAATTCACATATTTCCAAATAGGATTAACATGTCTGTCCTATGCAATGGTCTAAAAGGGCTGGGGCAGTCTTGGACACCCCTCAGAGGAAAATGTTCTTTCACATATAGTGGAACATTTGGCAAACCCACTTGATGACAAATTTAGAAGCACACCTTTTGCAAATCAGTCTGCATCCTAAAGCAGAGCTCCAGTCAACATATACAAAAAAACAAAATCAGCAACTATAAAAACTTGTAGCTGCTGACTTTTAAAAAACAGATACTCATCTGTCCCTTGATCCAGCAGTGTCCTCACCACAGCCGATTTCACCGACCATCCTCTTCCTGGTGCCAGCATCTTAAGTGTGGGCACCTGTCACAGCCGGGTGCCCACTGCGCATGCGTGAATGGTTCCGTAGTCTTCCGACACCTGTCACACGTCCCAGAAGACTATGGGAAGGGAGGGAGGACAACTTCTGCTTCCGATCGCCTGGGCGATTTTGACAGGTACCCGCTCCCCAAAGGTGCCAATCCTTAACAGGGAGCGGGCACGAGGCCTTCGAGCTGAACTTTCCCTTTTGGGTGGAGCTCTGCTTTAATTAGCAACATATTTGTGGGAATTGTTGGCAGAATTTCACTACTCCCTGCTGGGAGTAGATACCAACTTGAGAGAAGTCTAATGCAAAGGCATTTTGGTAACCAAACTGGTGCTTGCTCATATTTGTGACCCCATTTTCCTCTCCCAATGAGGCACCTTTGTCTGCTTTTTATTTCTGAACCTATGTCAATGGATGTGTTTTTGGGGAGGTCAGTAATCATACATCAAGCAAGGAAAGGAGACCTGGATTGTTTGGGTTACTTTGACATTTCAACTCGAATTGTGTGCACATTTTGTGTTAATAATGCTTTTTTGGGGTGTGGGCACACAGGTAATGTCATTGATAGGAAGCTAGCAGTCCAGTGACTACAGAGTGGGGGGGGGGGGGGGGGGGACGTGCTGGTGGTCTAGGTCCAGATCATGGTCTGCTTTGCCTTTGAGATAATCTGCACTATATTCTACTAAAAAAACTCCCCATGTCTCAATGTATCTGTAGCCAAAACCTTTTTTTTTTTTTTTTCTCAACACCTGTCAGATTTTAGTGTGGTTGGTGGTTCATTTTGAGAAATTCCTTCACTTCTTATCTGATGAAAAGGTTGTCCCTAGGACAGAAAGTGAGAGGAGATCTCTGTAATGACAATACATGAGAAAAAATGCTTTTTGTGTTGAATAAGGAAATGCCAGAACCTCTATCAGCCTTTTATTGTCCTTCTCTTTTGCAGTTTTTCACTCACTTTCTGTCTGGTAAAATGTTCCTAGAACAGAAAGTTAGGGTCACCTTATACATTCATGATCTTACACATAATCTGACCGTACAATCAACTTTTGATTTACAGTGCCTTGAAAAAGTATTCATACCCCTTGACATTTTCCACAATTTGTCATGTTACAACCAAAAACGTAAATGTATTTTATTGGGATTTTATGTGATCAACACAAAGTGGCACATAATTGTGAAGTGGAAGGAAAATGAAAAATGTTTTACAAATAAATATCTGAAAAGTGTGACATGCATTTGTATTCAGCCCCTCTGAGTCAATACTTTGTTGAACCACCTTTCTCTGCAATTACAGTTGCAAGTATTTTTGGGTCTTTTTCTACCAGCTTTGCACATCTAGAGTGAATTTTTTTTTTTTGTAGTAAAGTACTATCCTAATCTGTTTTATCAATCTATTACCAGTCAGACAGGCTCCTGCAATACATAGTTGTTGGTAGATATGAAGGAAATTGTACAGATTGTAGTGTGTGTTAGTGTGTTTTGAGCTTGAAGAGAAATCTAACAGAGCCCTGACAGGGTTCTAACCATTTCCCAGTCTATCCAAAACTAAACAAAAACGTTTTGGGTATTGATTTGCTTTGAAGAAGAAACATTTGTTCTTTTGTATCCTCACCATGTGAATGGCTGATCAGGTTGGAACTATAAAGATGTTCAGCCTCCTTGGTGTAATGCATGCTTTGCATTTATAATGTTTTAAATATAAGGGAAAATTAATAAAATGATAAATGTAACACTCAACGAAGGTGAACCATTCACCATAAACACAAGGAAAATTCACCTGCAGTGAATGTCACATTTGCTGCTTATAAGTAAAACAAAAAAAAAATTGCTGAAATAACTCGGGGTTATAAGATCATTAGCTTGTACAGAACTGCTTCCTAATATCACACCCATACTTAACTCACCAACCATATGGGATTCTTCATTCATGTACCTATTGGCAGCATTTGCATTCCCATACAAGAGGCTTATTTTAGTTAGTTTGTTTTTGCAGCCTTTGGATCGCACTACATGTATTCATGCACTATGTATCATTGCCTGACGCATATAAGTTCCAGAATTTAGGGTCAAGCAGGCACTACCCTTCCCTTGCTAACATCATGTGTCACAACTGTGCATCTTAAACAATAAGGGACCCCGGCATGTACAAGGCCATTTAATTTGTATGAAGGGCTTGAGTTACATCGCAGTTAAGAGAGTGGAGTACATATCAATGCACACATACCTAAAAAACAACTTGGTATATGCTCCTAAAACCAACTTAGGTTCAGTTGTTGATAATATTTCTAACAATTATGCCTTGCAGGCAAGAAGTGGCTAATCAAATGCGCTCAAAGACTAAAGAGGATTGTGAAAATCACTACATGAAACATTTCATTAATAACCCACTCTTTGCAAGCACTTTACTGAATAAACAAAGTGAAGAGGAAAAGAATGTGGATACAGCTGTTCCTTTTCAAGGTAAAAAAATACATTGCTTATTAGTAGCCCTCCTAACCCTCTTGTATTGAACTGTATTGTTGCTGTATTGTCTCCCGTTATTGTTAAGCGCTGAGCAAACTGTTGGCGCTATATAAATCCTGTATTATAATAGTAGTACCACAGTTGTGGATCTTTAAGATGGAGGGCTTGTTCACCTATTGTCTGTTGGGCTGTGTTTTTCTGCGTGTGTGGTGGTATGCAGAAAAATGTACCGTATTTTTCGCTCCATAAGACGCACTTTTTTCCCCCAAAAAAAGGGGGGAAAATGTCAGCGCGTCTTATGGAGCGAATCTAAAGCGGCCGGTCCGGTATTTCTGCCGCCACCATGTCAGAATACCGGGCCGGCCGCTCAGCTGTTCTCTCCTGCAGGACCTTACCCGTTCCTCGCTCCAGCGCTGCACAGTCTTCCTGCACTGGCTTCTGTGACAGCCGGGTGCCCACTGCGCATGTGCTGTGCTTTGTGAATGATCCGGTGTCTTCTGGGACACATGACAGGTCCCAGAAGGCGCCGGGCCATTCACAAAGCGCAGCGCTTCTCGCGCATGCGCAGTGGGCACCCGGGTGTCACAGAAGCCCGCCCAGGAAGAAGAGGGAAGGACAACTCCGCGGAAGTGGGAGCGGGTACCTGTCAAATTCAGGTACCCGCTCCCCCTCCCTCCCCAAAGGTCAGCAGTCTCTGGTCATTCCCTGCACTGTCTGCAGTCTCTGGTCATTCCCTGCACTGTCTGCAGTCTCTGGTCATCCCCTGTACTGTCTGCAGTCTCCCTGGTCATCTGTACTGTGTCTGCAGTCTCTGGTCATCCCCTGTACTGTCTGCAGTCTGTCTCTGGTCATCTCTGTACTGTACTGTGTCCGCAGTCTCTGGTCATCTCCTGCACTGTCTACAGTCTCTGGTCATCTCCTGTACTGTGTCCGCAGTCTCTGGTCATCTCCTGCACTGTGTCCGCAGTCTCTGGTCATCTCCTGCACTGTGTCCGCAGTCTCTGGTCATCTCCTGCACTGTGTCCGCTCTGGTCTCTGGTCATCTCCTGCACTGTGTCCGCAGTCTCTGGTCATCTCCTGCACTGGTCAGTCTCTGGTCATCTCCTGCACTGTGTCCGCAGTCTCTGGTCATCTCCTGCACTGTGTCCGCAGTCTCTGGTCATCTCCTGCACTGTGTCCGCAGTCTCTGGTCATCTCCTGCACTGTGTCCGCAGTCTCTGGTCATCTCCTGCACTGTGTCCGCAGTCTCTGGTCATCTCCTGCACTGTGTTTGCAGTATCTGGTCTTCTCCTCTACTGTGTCCGCAGTCTCTGGTCATCTCCTGTATTGTGTCCACAGTCTCTGGTCATCCCCTGTACTGTGTCTGCAGTCAATTGGTTCAGAATATTTTTTTTTTCTGTTTTTCGCCTCTAAAACCTAGGTGCGTCTTATGGTCAGGTGCGTCTTATGGAGCGAAAAATACGGTAGTTCAAAGGATATGGTGTGAACAGGCTAGGAGTATTTTATGTTTTTAAGTGCCTTCCATACATAGAATAAATAAGACAAGAGACACTGTAGGAATATTTGAATGCAATTCTACTTTTTGTTTTCAGTTTTCTAGTGTCAGTCCTTGAAAACGTTGTCATAGTTTGTTTATGTGTAAAAGGTGTCAGATTTACAAATGTATTGAATTCTTATACTGTACCTTTTTGTTTTTTTTGGCAACAGGATTTTTGTACCTAATTTTGTTTTGTTGGCCATTACAAGACCATTGGTTTTCCTCTTGGGCTTTTTATTTATATTATAGAAAGTAAAGCAAAAAGATTGCGCTATAAGCAAATGAAGGATATTGACATAGTGATGTGAGGATCTACAGTACTGGAAACGTGTTTGCCAGATAGCTCTGCAGTAGTAACGTAAAAACTATTTGGGCATTGCACAAATGCTTAAAATTAGGATGGTGCATGTAAATGTTTAAATTTCATGCATATATTGTGTACTTTTATATAAATGACTTGTATGTCTCAACTGTGAAAACTGTGACTGGCTTCTTGCAGAGGTGCGTAATGCTTTCTTTGTTCATCAAGGACTTTCAATTTGTTTAGATATCAAGAAACAATAAACCATTACGGTACAACCCAGCTGGTGATTACATTACTTTTGTGTCATGCAACAAACCATGCACTAAAGATTATATATATATGAGTGGAATCTTATTTAATTGTATTGTAGTATTCTTACTGATAATCTAATAAATGTTTTTCTTTTAGCTTCTGATGACCCACCAAGACCAACATTTGATTCATTGCTTTCTAGAGATATGGCAGGATATATGCCAGCAAGGGCAGATTTCATAGAGGTAAATGCAACTAATTAGTATTGGAAGTTATTGTCAGCAGAATACCCAAATACTAATCCACACCAATATACTGTATGCCTTGCTATATATTTTAAAATGGTGCATTTGGTGTGCATTTCTGCAGATCACCTTGTGCTTTCATATTTGTTACTTATCCAAAACCGCTTGACCTCTGGAAGTTTTACCCCCCTTCATGGTCAGGCCATTTTTTTTGCTATTCAGAACTGCGCTACTTTAACAATTGTGTGGTTGTGCAACACTGTACACATGAAATTGATAGCATTTTTTCACACAAATAGAGCTTTCTTTTGAGGGTACTTGATCATCACTGTTGTTTTTTTTTTTTTTTTTTTTGTTTTTTTTTTTGGTGCTATAAATGAATAAAGACTGAAATTAATAAAAACAAACTATATTATTTACTTTTTGCTATAAAACCTATCCAATAGAAAAGTAAAAAAAAATATAATTTCTTCATAAATGTAGACCAAAATGTATTCTGCTACATTTCTTTGGTAAAAAAAAATCCCAATAAGTGTATATTAATTGGTTTGTGTGAAAGTTATAGCATTTACAAATGGCGTATATACACTGGAATTTTTATTTTTTTTTATTTTTATCCTAGTAATGGTGGCGATCAGCGACTTATAGCAAGACTGCGATAGTATGACGGCCTTCTGACACTTAACTGAAACTGGGTGGGAACTGACTAACTGCCACTGACATCTCCAGTGACACTAATACAGTGTTCAGTGCTAATAAAAAGCACTGACACTGTACTAATGACACTGGGCAGGAAGGGGCTAACATCTGGGGCAGTCAAAGGTTTAACTGTGTGTTAAGGAGTGTTTATATTGTGTACTGTGTAGGGTTTTACTAGGGGACATGCTAGTTTTTTTTTATCTCCCTGCTTTGCAGAGAAATGAAAACCAGCATGTCCCCTCTGACAGGAGAGAGATCTATGTTGTATACAAATACAGACCTCTCCCCTGTCAGCTGCTCCGCTGATCTCCGTGTCCTGGTCATGAATCGCTGGCTGGGACCCGTGATTGACACCTACAGGAGCCAATGAAGGCACGAGTAGGACAGCGCGCGCACCCCCTACCTGGAGATGCAGAATCGTGTATATATACATTATTCTGTACAGAGCGGCCTCTGTGTAGCAGTAAAACTGTTTCAGGGTGGTCAGCAAGTGGTTAACTAGGTATTAGTGTAGTTATATTCTCTAAGCGGTTTGTTTACTTAACCTTTTAATGTTGTGGCTGAAGTTTGCAGTGTCATGGCTGTTTGATTCCCCTATATCCATATTTTGCTGCAGACTGTCAAAGCGTCAAAAGAGCAGGACAACTTCTTTAAAATGTATGCCTTGTTACCCTCTCTGTTGCACATCACAAACGCTAATGTGATTAAAAAAAAAAATCCTCCAGCTGCATCAGTGAGTTCTCTGCCTGCTTGTGGCTGGTAGATTTAATTGATGTATAGCTAGCTCTAGCCTGCGACCCAAGAATTGTGGAATACGTAGATTCCACAATGGAAATGTTAATTCTCAAACTACAGACCGTGATCATGCAGTGAACTGTGTAGTGCCATGCCACATACCTCATAATTGAACACAAACAGAAACTTCTGACAAAAGAATGCAAGGATTTACTCTACTATAGGCTATGCTTACAGGGCAAAAAATGACACCATAAACTACATGATCAATGTACATCTTATGCATGTAGGAACGTTTAGGTTCAGTACACAAGAGGATTCTCTCATCAAATAAGTAAACAAAGACCCTGTTAAAGCATGAAAAAGAGCCTAAAGCTCCACCTGTTGTCTCAAGTGGAGAATGCCAAATATGAAATATTACATATTTTCTGGTCTAAAAAATATTTTTGTTTTTTATACTGCTGAACATAATACATCAAGAATAAAACTATATTCTAAAGCACGGATTACTTTTTGCAAATGTGCAGACCAAGTCATGTCTGTGTACACAAATATATTCTCATGTATACTATAATTGCATTTCTGAGGCTGTCTTGTTGGTCATGATAAAGTTTTGTGTAAGAAACTGAAAGCTGCTGACCGCATTCATATTCTTTAATTAAAGTTTTCTATTTTGTGCCCAACAGGAGTTTGATAATTATGCAGAGTGGGATTTAAGAGATATTGATTTTGTTGAAGATGATTCAGAAGTTTTGCATGGTAAGCATTTTTCTACAAGAGATTGCAGTGTTCCTTTTTTGGGCTTTTTGAAAAAGTAATCTGTCTTGATTATTAAAGACTACAGCTGTGCTTAGTAAATTATCAGATGATGGAAATTTTGTCTCATCATGTCTACTTATTGCCCTTTAGCTAAGGCTGCATAGTCTATTTAAAACTTCTTGGTTACTGAGGCTCAGAAGACAGTGGGATGGCGGTAATTGACAATTATGAGTCTAATTATTATTTTCGTTCACCCAACATTCACAGATTTTTGTAATTTGGATTCAACTGGAAAATGTGTGAATCCTGGGTGAATGTTGTGTGAATGTTGTGCAAAAACATGTATACATAGCCATAAAGTGAGAGTGCTGTAACAGAGAAACTAAATCATCAGAAAGGGGCACTGTCGGCTAGTAAATGTAATAGCAGGTCTTTGCCCTTATAGTTTAAAATTGAGTAAACATTTACTTTAAATATTCTGCAGGAAAGGAAGGAGTTTTTGAGGGGTAGATGACACTCTTCATTGCTGTTTTACTGAAAATGAATGACCCTATAGAGATATTCTTTTGTATTTAAAAACTGTAGCTTCAAGAAAGTGACAGTTTTTTAAAATAAAAGATTTCTGAAGTAGTTTCAGTTGTTTCTCATGTTTGTTATATTATGTTAATTATATATTTTTGCATGTTCTATATGTTACTTTTCTTTTTTTTCTTTTATATGTAGCTTTGAAAATTGCGGTTGTGGATATTTATCACTCAAGACTGAAGGAGCGACAGAGAAGGAAAAGGTAATGTGACCGAAAGATATTATAATTGTACTGTGCTACTAATTCCATTTTTAAAGGAGAAGTTTACTTTTGTATAAAAAAATAATAAAAGCACATCTTTTTGCAGGCAAAAAAAATATGCCTTTTTATTTTTTTTTTATTAGGAGGCTAAAGCATTGCACCCACAATCAGCAGATCGAGGGTGCAATCCCCAGGCTCCTGCACAGTGTGTAGCTGACTGCCCATACCTCATACGGGAGGCAGTTACTGAATAACAGGAAGCAGCAATGAACTCCCTAGAGCTCTCGTCAGCGCCCTGGTAGTTCATTGAGAACTATAAGCCTTCAGCTGCAATAGCTGATTGTAGTTATACCATTCAAATTGAAAATATCAACTAAAATATTTTTTTGTAAAGTTGTGACAGCGGGTACAGGGAGAGGATCCCTGACCTGCTGTCACAATGGAGGATCAGAGGAGGGTTGCAGGGGCTGCTGCAACAGTAACATGTTACACTCTGAATACGGATGTAACATGTTAGGAAAGGTGACCGTTAACTTTTTTTTTTTTTTATTGTAATCTGTTTCATTTTTTATTGTAACTTTTTTTTTTTTTTTTTTTTTTTTTTTTAACTATTTTGGTAGCATTACATGCTTAACTTGAGGTCATTCAAATCTCACATCTAGTAATTACAGTACTACTAGGAACGTTTTTTTTTCTTCTAATAACATCGATAGTTGTAATGTATTATAAATTATATATAAGGTGGAAATCGCCAATGCAGTCTATTTTCTAAAGGCAAATTGTTCTAGCATTTTAATATTAGTGGAATGACACTTTGAGACCACAAATAATGGGTTTGCAACTGGATTGAGATCAGAGATTTAACGTAGCTATTGGACATTTACCTTGATTCTCTCATTTTTACTTTGGCCTAATGGTAGGGATCATTGTTCTACTGAAAGTTGCCCAATATAATTTTTTTTTTGACTGAACAGGTTTTGTTGCAGTGGTTCCATGTACATTGTACCCTTGATTCTAACAGTATGTCCTGTCCCAGCTGATTAAAAACTGCACCACAGCATAAAGCCACCATTGTGAGGTGGTGTTAAGTAATAGGAGATGGACAAATTTATAAAAGCCTATTTATTATTACACTTTTAAAACCGAAAGCTCTGTCTCATGAAATCACAAAACCATTTCTCACAACAAACCTAGGACACCCTAATGTTTTATGACAAACTCCAGATCTGCTTTTGTATGGTTATTATGGTGTAGCAAGCTTTTTTGGTTGAACCACCAGTGCTTGCTTAGACATAAAAACACTTGGATATTTGCTTGTTTCTCAGTATAGCAGGGCTTTAAAAATTGTGGTACACAGGCCTTATCCAGCTAACCCAGCACAAAACTTCAAGGAAGAAAAAGTCAAACTTGGTTAAAATAGCAAAGCATAGCATGTGCAAAGCTGAATATAGGTGGATGAGGTTGCACAGTTTGCCACCAACGTCACTCACAGTATCAACAGTAAACATTGTGCAAAGTTGATAAATATTTAACTTAAAACTGCTGTTGGTGCAAAAAGAATTATTTGCAAATTATTAAAATGTAAGGACCCTGTTGGAAATGACCTCAAATTAATCTAAAATACAAATTATGCAAACATATCCAATACGAGATATAAAATGACATTAACCCAGAATACGCCATTATTTTATGCTCACTTGTGACTTGAAGAAAGTTTTACTGGTTTGTACTTGTTTTCTTGTAACATGGACTTTTTATACTCATTCTAGGATTATTAGAGAACATGGCCTTATAAATCTGAGGAAGTTTCAAAGTAAGCAGTTTATTTTCTCTCCAGAATGTTGGCTATAACTGAAGGTTCCACTGTGCTGCAGTGTCACATTTCTAGTGACATGCATACATTACAGTTTCTATAAATACATTTTCTGGCTTTGTTTAGTTTTGGAAAGAAGATATTCCAAAGATATACAAGAGCTCTATGAAACCATGAGAAGATTTGCCAGGATTTTAGGAGCAACAAACCATGATCGATTTATAGAAAGCCAAGCATGTAAGTTTCTCGCAAAGCATTTTATGACATATATTACATTTCAGTATAATATTTATTTGTTATTTTATAGATACTTTGCAATGGCTTTCTCTGTGTATTTTGTAAGATTTAGAATGTCACACCAGACATGATAGTAAAGCTGATCTCCATTTAGTATGGAGCACACAATGTAAAACTCACACGGCACACTGTTAAGCATTTGATCGCCCCAGATGTTAACCGCTTCCTGCCCAGTGTCATTAGTACAGTGTCAGTGCTTTTTATTAGCACTGATCACTGTACTAGTGTCACTGGGGATGTCAGTGGCAGTTAGTTCCCACCCACTAACTGCAGAATGCCCGCTGCAGTCTCACTATAAGTCGCTGATCGCCGCCATTACTAGTACAAAAAAAAATAAAATTCCAGTATATATATACTGCCATTTGTAGACGCTGTAACTTTCAGTTAAACCAATTAGTTAACATGTGTTTTTTTGATTTTTTTTTTTAGCAAAGACATACAGAATACATTATGGCCTAAATTCATGAAGAAGCTAGATTTTTTTTTTTTTTTAATTTTTTACTGAATGTTTTATAACAAAAAGTAAAAAAAAATAAATATATTATATATATATATATATATATATATATGTTAATTTTTTTTTTTTTTTTCAAAATTGTCAGTCTTTTTTTTTGTTTATAAAAACCTCAGAGGTGATCAAATACCACCAAAAGAAAGCTCTATTTGTGGGCAAAAAAGGGACATAAATTCAATTTATGTACAGCATTGCAATTGTCAGTTAAAGTGATGCACCTCTGTATCGCAAAAAATGGCCTGGTCAGGGAGGGAGGGAATCCTCTGGAGGGCAAGTGGTTAAGGGTCCATGCACACTAGCATTTTCTTAAGCTCCTAGAAGCTATTATGAGCATTTTTATTTCTGCTCCTAAAAGCTAATAGTGTTACCCCATGTGTCCATGCACTATTTTTTAGCGTTTCTGGGAGCTAAATGCTACTAACCGCTTTTTAGAGGTTTTTTTTTTTCTCTGCATGTTCTGTAAAAAATGTCAATAAACCGCTAACGCTCCTAATTCTTTTAAATGCTACTAAAACACTACTACAAGCTGGCACAAAAATGCTATTATCCAGTTTTTTTTTGAGCTTTTAAAAAACGCTAGTGTGCATTGAGCCTTTTCTGGCACTTTTTGTTCACATGTAACAATCAGTATATTTCGATACAAAAGTACTTAGAACCCCCCCCCCCCCCCCAGCGTTATATATTTTTTAAAGCATAGGACCTTAGAATGAATTGGTGGGTGTTTCAATTTTTTATGTCACAACAGTTTTTCAAACGCAATGTTTTTGGAAAAAATACACTTTTATTTACTTTAATGCAAAAAACACAATTCATAACCCATTTTTTGTAAAATATGTTTTTCTGAGTAAAGGGATGCTAAACATGTCATGCGTTTAAAATTTGTGCACGCCTGTGCAATGGCCACAAACAGCAAACATTTTACCATATATAGGCAATGCTTTAAAAGCCTATATAGGTTACCACTTTAGATTTACAGAGGAGGTCTGGGGCTAGAATTACTGTCCACCTACCAAGTGCAAGTGGGACTGGCATGTGCATTCACCTCTGCATAGGGGGGGAACGGGGGCATTTTAATTTTTTTTATTGCTGTTGCAAGGAATATAAACATCCCTTGTGACAGAAATAGGCATTTGACACGTATCCTTTTATGGAGAGATCTGGGGGTTATTAATACCCCAGATCCCTCTTCTGCCCAAGATCAGTTGTGCAAATGCTTTTCATTTCTAAAAATGACACCGTTTTTATCTGGGTAAACCAGTAGCAATGTAAGGTCATCACTTCTGGTTTCCTATATATCAGAGGTGAAAGGAGCGGTTCAGTTCTTTATTCAGCTCGAAGATCAGCCTGCAGAAGCTCTGGGTGGTCAATCCACTAGAACAGCCCATTTAAAGCCGCAGATGACGGCTGGAGGGGATGGGGGGACTGCTTGTAATAGCAATCCAGTGTCTAGTTAGGGATATGGAAATTTTTTTAAAAAACGTGATTAATTCGGGGTCCCAACCTACCTGTCCTGATTAAAAAAAAATAATTTTTTTAACCAAAACCGTATTTAAATATCTGGGGCTTTTAAAAATGAAAGGGGCTTTATGACGACTTAAACGTTTAATATTTTTGACTTTGCTGTTGATCTCCAGCACTGCACCTGGGGACTAGAAGGGAGGGAAGAGAGCACTGTGTGATGAGCACCGATTGGGTGCTCGGAATCTCTTAACACACAGCAGAAGCTCATCTACTAAGTGAGGCGCCAGCCCCAATGAGATAATAAAAACCCTTTTATTTCTTCAGATTACTTGGGAGCTCAGTACAAGTGCCTGCTGAGAAGACAAATCAAACTCCAGTGTCTGCTCTGTTAAAGGATCCGTTCACCTTTAAAAACAAAAAAAAAACATAATAAATGCACAATTTTTGGCAAGTAAAAAAAATGTGCATTTACTATGTGTTTTTTTTTTTTTTTAAGAGCTTGCAAAGCATTGCAACAGTGATCAGTAGATCGCTAGTGCCATGCAGAACTCCTGCAGATTGTCAGTATGAGCTTACCTACATCTTACAGGCAGGCAGTCTGACGCTGACAGGAAGAACCAATGAACTACCAGAGCGCTCAACAGCTCCATGGTAGTTCATTTAGAACTACAAGCCGACATCCACAAAGGCTGTTGGAACTTGTAGTTGATTCATTCACAGAACTCAAAAAGTGACTGCTGGTGCGGGGAACTTCTCCTTGGATTGCTGAACCGCTGCAAGAGTGGGAACATGTTACACCCTAAAAATGGATGGAACATGTAACATGTTCACAAAGGTGAACTTAACCTTTCACTGCCAGGACCGTTTTTGCAGGGGGTTTTTTTTTTGCACAATTTTAGGCGTGGAGACATTATAAAACATTATAAAACATATATTCTTAAAGCAGACACCTGAGAGAATATAATGGTGGTAGTTGCAATTTTTTATGTCACACAGTATTATTAATGCAGAGGTCTAGGGAACGCACAATTTTAGCAAAAACACACAAAATTTAGGGCCAGGGAAACTGTCAGTAGAGCACCGGAAGTGAAGTCAAATGTCGATTCCAGGTGAAGAACACCTGAGCAGCCTGAATGCTTCCACCTGACAAGTAAGCCCTGCTGCTTGTCTACAGCAGGGCTAAATGTAGAAGAAAACCTAACTACCTGGCGATACAAATTGTGCATCCCTGGGGATTATGCCTGCAGCTGAGGGCATCATCCCAGTATAACCATCTGAAGTCCTACCTATCGACCTACAGGTTAGTTACTGGTCATCAAGTGGTTAAGACAGGTTTATGAAGTATTTACCAAGCATTTCTTATTTTTTGCAGTAAATTTCACATAAACCATTATTACATGCAATATACTGTATATCCTTTAGTGAATTGAGCCCATAGTTAACACCTTCTTCTTCTTTTTTTTTTTTTTTTTTCTTTCTTGAGAAATCTAGGCCTTTAATGGCCACTGCAGTTGATGCTCATTTCTGGACAACATTTATCCATTAGTAAAATTTACATAGTTTTTTTTATCTGCAGTGGAATTTGAACTGCGCAGGGAAATCAAAAGGCTACAAGATTATCGAAGAGCAGGAATCAAAACATTTCACAGTAAGAAGTTCAGTTTTTGCATTTGTATTCACTAAATATAAATGAAATGTTTGTGCATTAGAACCATAATAAGTTGCAAGCTCACTTATTGTGTGTAATAAACATTGTAAAGATAAAGATGCTGTGCTAAAAAATGAATTCAATCAATATGCGCAACCAATCAGTAAATGGCAATAAAAAAAAAATATATATAGATATATATATAAATTCATATTCATTTGTGATGTGACCTTATTCTTGAATGATCGATGTAAAAAAGTTCTATTTTTAGAGTGATCCTTAGCTCTGTTTGGCTTGGCTGCCTCCTTTGCTCTAGTATGCTTTTCCTTCAGTCATGCATGGCTTTATGATCCAGATTGCACAGATGTTTGTTGACTTTGAACGCAAAGGCCACAAGGGGCCAATATCCTTTCCCTGCACATTCTGTATCAGGTGTTCCTGCAGCCTTGGAGTCAGCTACTGAGACTGTCTGTCTGATTCTGAGTCTCTCCAGTCCCTACTGAACACACTTGCTTCAGAGGATTTGCAGTCTTCTGCCATCACTTCCACACTGAGAGACCATTCCTGTTCTTATTGGTGTACTATGCATCATGTTGAAGCTAGAGAATTAAGCCTGTTTCTTCAAAAATGCTATTCCATGTCTGAGGTTTTTAGGACTTCTAAAACTGCTAGGACTGTTTCATTGAACTTGCTTTTTGAAGTTTTTTCTTTTTATAAAGACTGAAAACACCTGGACAAGATGTTTGTTCTCCCAAAACACTTATATAACCTTGTACCCATTTGAAGAGGACTTTGTTAAAAAGTGATCTGCCTTCTTTGTGGATCCGGCAGTGACCACCACTCCAGTGGAAGATGTACCTGTCTTTTAAGTCCCCACCGATAAGCAGTTGGAGACCCTATCTAAATCTTTGCTGCTGCTGGCAAGTCCAGCTGTAAGCCGTGATACAAACACTGATTTGGTGGTTTAAGGCTATCAGAAGGGATGTGCTCACTATTTTGGTTGATCACTTGGTCGTAATATTTGTTGCAAATGGCTGTAGCTTTTAGCTACAGCGTTGACAGGATGCTGCAGGTTTACCATCCCATTTCCTATATGAGTCTTCTGTCAGCCTACATGCAGAGAAAACTTTAATTAAAACGTTGGACTGGGTAACCTGTGTCCAACAAAGGCTTACTCCATATGGCCTTCGAGGGACAATGTCTCTTCAGGCCCACTGTGAATGCCATCAAGGACATCATAGGTGGCACGAGTACCCATCTGCCTCAGTGAAAGATGCCTAGGGCTCAGTATGAAAATTCTCACCCGCTGAAGGTTAACAAAAGTCCTTTTGTTATTCCATGTCAGCTATCTCTGAGTCCTAGTCCTCACCAAGGGTGGACTGACCATTTGAGCACTTGGGCACTGCCCATGGGCCCGGGGTCAGTAGGGGGCCCCATGAGATGCCCCTGGTACTTTTTTTTTTTTTTTTTTTTTTTTTTTTTTATAATATATAGGCTTTTTTGTGTGTGGGCGAGGACACGGGGGCCCAATGATCCCCTATTGCCCGGGGGCCCCATGAGTTGTCAGTCCGCCCCTGGTCCTCACTTCAGGACCTGAAGCTCCAAGTCTGCTAAGCTCTTAAAAAGTCTTCGGCATGATGGTGCACCTCATCTTCCAAAGTTGGGGTATCCCTGTTGGTCTTTATAGAGACTTGGTCATTCTTCATCTCATCTAGGTGCAGCTAGATACTACAGCTGAACCACTCTTGCATAGATTTATATGGGGACAAATAATAGGTAAACAGGGTACCCTGGGGGTTTACCTTTTTTTTTTTTTTTTTTTTTTTTTTTTCCTTCTTGTGATAATTTAAACATGGGATCTTCCTGGCAAGGGGCAGAAGCAGGCAACTGCCGACCTCTCCAGTTAATATAGACACTAGTCAAAATAGCAGCTGACTGGCTTGGTTATTCTTTGATAGATTATGTGTCCCACAGATTGTGTCCAAACTCAACCACCCTCTGGTTTAGTTTGAAATAGAGTGGGAAAAGCTTAGACCCTCTGTAATTTTTCTTTTAGTCTGTACCCCTCTATTATTACTATGATAACCAAAAATAAAGTGGAAATCCAAATCTGTTTTGCTTTGAAGGGAAATTTCCACAGTTGTACGCAGCAGGGATTTTAACACTTCCCTACTCTAACCAAATGTAAAAAACTTTTGTCTATATATACACTTCAAAACCCTTTTAATCTAAATGTGCATGAGAAGTTGGGAAAGATGTACAGTACACTCTTTCCAGAAACATCTTCTCTTACACAAAAATAAATGACACAATTATTTACAAAGCATATATCTATATTATCATCTGCTGTGCATCTTGACCTTTCCACTTGTCATTGCAGGAGTGAGAGTTGATGCTGTTACATCTTTACATTATTTTTATTTTTTGCCTACGTCCAATATGAATGGCTGACACAATGTAGCATTTGCCTGATTTGCTAGATATTGTTATCTATGTAAGACATGACTGTTATGCCATACATTTTTTGCACAGGCTGAGTGAATAAATAGCACATGTCACCACTACTAGCAGATTAGCCAGTTATAACCTACACAGTTTGTTTACAGTGAGATTAACATTTGCATGTTTTGAAATAGGTTCCAAAATATATGATCGTTTGAAAAAGACTCGTGAAGAAGAGCGTTTGAAGAGAACCATGCTTTCTGAAGTCCTACAGTATGTTCATGATGGCAGTGCCTGTCAACAATGGCTTAAACGACAAGCCGCTATGTGAGTTTAAAATGGTTGTGTACTTTCTTATACACTATATTGCCAAACGTATTGGGACGCCTGCCTTTACGCGCACATGGTGTGAATTAGCCCACCCTTTGTAGCTATAACCGCTTCAACTCTTCTGGGAAGGCTGTCCACAAGGTTTAGGAGTATGTCTATGGGAATGTTTGACTATTCTTCCAGAAGCACATTTGTGAGGTCATGCACTGATGTCAGACGAGAAGACCTGGCTCACAGTCTCTGCTCTAATTCATCCCAAAGGTGTTCTGTTGGGTTGAGGTCAGGACTTTGGGTGGAGGAACTTGAATGGCCTGCCCAAACTCACTCCTCCATGTCTTTATGGACCTTGCTTTGTGCACTGGTGCGCAGTCATGTTGGAACAGGAAGGGGCCATCCCCAAACTGTTCCAACAAAGTTGGGAGCATGAAATTGTCCAAAATGTCTTGGTATGCTGACGTCTTAAGAGTTCCCTTCACTGGAACGAAGGGGCCAAGCCCAACCCCTGAAAAACAATCCTCCCTCCAGCAAACTTTACACTTGGCACAATGTAGTCCGGCAAGTACCGTTCTGGCAACCGCCAAACCCAAACACGTCCATTGGATTGCCAGACAGAAGCGTAATTCGTCACTCCTGAGAACACGTCTCCACTGCTCTAGAGTCCAGTGGCAGCGTGCTTTACTACACATTGCATCCGACTCTTTGCATTGCACTTGGTGGTGTAAGGCTTGGATGCAGCTTCTGCCATGGAAACCCATTCCACGAAGCTCTCTACACACTCTTGTGCTAATCTGAAGGCCACACGAAGTTTGGAGGTTTTTAGCTATTGACTGTGCAGACAGTTGGTGACTTCTGCGCACTGTGTGCTTCAGCATACGCTGACCCCGCTCTGTCATTTTATGTGGCCGAATTGCTGCTGTTCCCAGTTGCTTTCACTTTGTTATAATACCACTAACAGTTGACTGTGGAATATTTGGTAGCAAGGAAATTTCACAGATAGACTTATTGCACAGGTGAAGAAGAGCACAAGGGGGCACCTCTAAGTGCAGTATTAAAAACAATTTAATAGACCATAAGTGTTACACTCACATGTATATGGGAAGTGAGAAGCGTTATAAGATGTTATAGATGACTTAGGCATAAGGTACCACAAACCCTCATCGGATGGTATATCTGCAGCGGCATCCGAGACCAGATGGAGCCGGACAGAAGACACCGGTTCTTCTGGAAGTGACATCAAAAACCACTGTAGACCAAATGCATGATGGTTTATATATTGACTCAGCTTGTCTCTGATGATCCTCTCGAGATGTGTGCTAAGACCGCCCTTACCCTGCCCATATAGGCCTATGCACCACTATAAATGAGAGTTGTCACCTTAGCCAATCAGGTTTGATAAAGGAACTGATTGGTGCTCCTAAACGCATTACCTAGGCTACGAAGGCTAGAGATCCACCCTTCCCTGCCGTCACTTCTAGTTGTGCGACCCATGGTGGATTTTGACATCACTTCTGGTTCCACGGTCCACCACGACCCTAGGAGCTAGTGCCTTCTGTGAAGCACAGATATCCGGCCTGCCTCTCGGCTCCATCTGGTCTTGGATGCTGCTGCAGATATACCATCCGACAAGGGCTTATGGTCCCCTTTTGTCTGAGTCATCTATAACATCTTATAATGCTTCTAACTTCCATATACATGTGAGTGTAACACTTCTGGTCTAGTAAATTCTTTTTAATACTGCACTTAGAGGCGCCCCCTTGTGTTCTTCATTCTTACAGAGATAGATTCCAGTCTCTCAGTGGAGCTGCCCATAGGTGCCTCTTATGGATTTAGAACTGCCATTATGCTATGGGCTAAATGGATTCTAAACGATTTTATCGCTAACTATTTGTAACTTACACTGTTTTTGTTCTTGAGGTTTGCGCCATATACAATTTGTATTATTGCACAGGTGGCAACCTATCCTGATACCACGCTTGAATTCACTGAGCTCTTGAGAGCGACCCATTCTTTCACAAATGTTTGTAGAAGCAGTTTGCATGCCTAGGTGCCTGATTTATACACCGGTGGCCATGGAGGTGATTGGAACATCTGAATTTAATGATTTGGACGGGTGTCCCAATACTTTTGGCAATATAGTGTATTTTTGTATTGCCTTAAAGCATGTCAACATAGCAGACTAAACTTCATGGCTAAAATAAACATTAAAGTTTATGATGTTTTTCTGCTTGTCTAAGTTCCATTTTGAAATTCTTCAGAAATCCATACTTTTTCTTGTCCCTCGGGGGACACAGGAAGTCTTTTATCATTTGGTTATATTGCTGCCTACAGGAGGACTGGACACAGGCAAAAAAAAAAAAAAACTGTAGGCCAGACCATGATAACTCCTTCTGCTACCAGTATGCCTCAGTGTTTTGATGGTGTTGTAGGAGGATGGACATCTTTTCTTCATGTCTGCTGTTTAAAAAAAAAAAATTGCTAGCAACATTTTTTTCTTCAGCATTTATTTTCCTCAGTCAAGACTCTTCTACACTGCTGCTAAAACTGGTCTCTCAGATTGCAGAAATCCATTGTGGCTAACCTCAGTTTGGCTTTTAGAGTGTTACTTCCAGACCTTCAGGATGTGACCTTCAAACACTGAGTTACAGATTAGCGTGCATTCCAGACCCCATTCAGGTAAAAAGATAGTTGGTGCTTGCCCTGCCTCTGAACACTCTGTGAGTGGGCTGGTAAGGCCAAGCATAGTGAGCAACCAAGTACATAGGTTGCTTGGTGTCTTTAGAATTCAGTTTCCTACTAGTTCCACCATAGAAGGAGCCAATACTGTGGGACTGAGTTGTCTGCTCAGTGGAGTACTCACTCATTTGGCATTTAGGAAACATATCCCTGCTGATGCTACTACTTTTCAAAAAGCCATAAGAAACTTCAGTCTTTGATCTGTTCATGCTGCCCACCTGCAGTGACTTTGGTCACCTGCAGCCATCCAAATCTTACCCTGCTACACCTATCTGGGTTTTGTGGCTACCTGAGATATTGCTCATGCCCTAAGCCTTATGTTGCCTTACTGCCACACGGTCGCAATATGTCTGGTTCTAGACACAGGGGCATCTTAGTGCTACTTGCTGCATACCTACTGATGTGGCTGACATCTGCAGACTTATATCCTGTTGCCCACTGCTCCTGGAGTCTGTCATGTCTTTTGGAGCCTTTCTTAGCTGTGTAGAGTGTGTCTGGGCCCTTGCCCTTTCCACTGAGGTTTTTACTGCAGTCATACAAGAATGTATGGCCTAATTCACCCAGTTATTTTCTGAATCTGACCACAGAGGCCATAAATGTGCTCCCTTGCCTTCCCTTACAGATTCTGAATCTGATCTACCCCCATTCTCTGAGCTGAGACTGGGACTCTGTCTGATTGTGTGTCACTCCAGTCTTTACCTGATGAACATACCTTTCAGGAGTTGCAGTCTTCTGCTATTACTTCCAAAATAAGAGAGACCATTTCAGCTTTTTTTGATGCAGTGCCCACCACGCTGAAACTAGCGAATCAACCTATTCCTTTTAACAGTGTTATTGCAGCCATGGGTCCTTTTAGAGCCCCTAAGACCACAAAGAGATTTTACCAGTTCACATGTGGTTCCAAATCTTCCTCTATGGAGATTGGAAGCGCCCTGACAGGATGCTTGCTCCCCCCAAGCACCTATTAGCCTTGTACCTGTTTAAATAGGACTTTTTTAAAAAGTGGTCCTCCCTTATTGTGGAATCCAGCAGTGTTCTGCCATAGCAAAGCAACCACTATACCGGCAGAGAATGAATTTATGTTTAAGGATCCAACTGATAAGTGGTTCGAAGTCCTCTGTAGGAGCCTGTTCTCGCTTGCAGGCCATCCATTCCGACAATCCTCATTGCTCTGAGCTGGCCTAGGCATATATGGTATGCCAAGCTGGTAAGATTCCTGGCAGACTTTGCATTGGTGTTGAAGACCTGGATCTGGACCAGTGTTTGTATTTCAGCATTGTCAAAGGTCAGGTTTTGTCCAGTCTCTCTTAGATACCGTTGGTCTTTTGCTCCTTGTTATAGACATGTATACAGGGAGTCTCCTTTTGTAGCCTCCCCATTTGTTCTCCTGTGACTCAGTAAGATCTGAATTTGTTTATCTGAGATTCAATCATCATGTGAACCTATTAGAAATATTCCTCTCTCTACTCCCATCCACAAGGTAGCATTTCTGGCAGCCTTACCCTGTAAGGAATATGGTCTTATTTTGTTTAGGGACAAGGTGGTGTTGAGGCCTAGGACTTCCTGCTTGCTTAATGTAGTGACTTTTTGTTTCAGGACATTTGTTCTCTTGTCCCGCTCTCTGTATGTGTTTTAAGCTGCGAGGTCTATCTTTCAACTACTACTTCGTCATGATTCATTTTTTTGTTCTGGATAGATTCCACCATCTCTAGGTGACTTAGGCAGACTATCATCCAAACATACAGTTTTAAGGATCAGGTGTCGAGATGCATTCTACCAGGTCTGTGAGTGCTTCTTTTGGAAACTTTTCCCATTTTGCACCTTGTCTTTTGTTTTTCTAAGTTCTCCCAGGTGTATATTTAGGCATCATGATGCCAGTGTTGGGTTCTTCTGGCAGCTGTTTGAGCTGCAAGTAGTCCACAGTTTTTATTTTTTTCCTCTAGAGCCTGTTAGCCTTTGATGTATTGCCCTCCCCTTCTCCAGTTGGACTGCTTTTGTGTGTCCCTCAATGGTTGAAAAAGAAAATTGGATTTTCTTTACTCACGATAAAATCCTTTTGGAGTCCATTGAGAGACATTTTATTTTTATTTCTTAGTAATACTTTGCTAAGGTAATGGATGCTTAGGTAAGGGATGTTTGTTTGCAGCATCCATTTGTCCTGTAGACAGCAGTCTAAGAATCCCTGTGCCCCTCAATAGATTCCAAGAAAAGGTTTTTATGCTAAGTACAAAAATCCTATTGTTTACATCACCCAGAAGATGTTCTGATTGCCTTTTGTTGAAATAGTTTGAGTGTGATCACACCTATCCTAAACACACACCGAAATCTTCCGCTCCCTTCTCTTTAACCCTAAAAATGCACCTTCAGCAGATCTGAAGGTGTTTGTTTGTGGAAAGATGCAGATACCAAATGATCCTTTGGTATTTGGATGGTGCCTGCAAATTAGGCTGCCATTGATATCTGTAGGTATTGTTAGTAATGTCAGTTTAGCCAAATCTTGATTAAAGGTGCCTGTAGACATACCCAGTATATACCATGCACTGCTCTAAGCAGTTTGTTACTGCGGTCAGGTCAAAGCTATTCCAGGTTCTGATCATCTAGGCTTGTCCTCCCACACTTTCAATAAGAGCCGTAACTTGCCCAGAAAATGATACTGCACTATGGTATAGTCCCACTGAAGTTCATTCTAGCTAGCTGCACATAAACTGCCAAGCTTCTCCATGGCAGGGTGAACATGGACCTCTAGTATAAATTTACAAGCATGATATTAGCAGAGCTCAATGTCGCGTGGTACCTGTCCATATAAGATGATCGTAGTCAACTCTGGCTGATCATGAATGGAACAGATTTGCCGAGGCAAGATCTGTCCAGCAGACCCCTCCTGGCCAATTGATCTCTGAGAAAACTATTGTAGTATGGATTATTGCCTGGATAAGGTCAGTGCCCTGGGGTGTCTAGAAAGGGCATACATATGCATGCTTGCTCAGTGTGACTGTGCATATTTATGCCATTATATTTTCACAGAAATGTCATGTGACTGTCTGTTCTTCTGATCACTTTCTTGTATATGTAAATGGCTAGGAAAAATGTGTGTTCCCATTACAGTAGAAAAATAAGAAGTTCAGTTGGTTGTTGTGAGCAGTGCTTATTCAGCTGCAGTCTTCATATGATAATTTTTTTATTTCTATTTGTGTTTTAGAGACGCTGGTTTATATCAAGTTGTACCTGTTGTTTCAGGTTCAGGTATGAATCATTTAATTTTTCTTTCTTGACTCATTTTACTATAATATATCTTTATTAATTATGGATTTAGATGCATTTTTATCTTTTACTATTTTACTTGTAGTTTCCTGTTGCAAAAATAACATTGTGTAACCTGTACATAGAATGTTTGCTCGCATATAATCTGTAACAATAGTTGCAGAAATCTTCTCAGGAGAATGAAGTTGTGGCTGCTCAGGAGGCCAAACTGTTTACAGCCACCTTTTAGATATATACAGTCATGGCCGAAATTGTTGGCACCCTTGATATTTCTCCAGGAAATCATGTATTTCTCACGAAACGTATTGCATTAACACATGTTTTGCTATACACATGTTTATTCCCTTTGTGTGTATTGGGACAAAACAAAAAAAGGGAGGAAAGAAAGCAAATTCGACATAATGTCACACAAACCTCCAAAAATGGGCTGGACAAAAGTATTGGCACCCTTTCACAACTGCGGATAAATAAGAATGTTACAAGCATGTGATGCTCCTGTAAACTCACCTGGGGCAAGTAACAGGTGTGGGCAATATAGAAATCACACCTGAAAGCAGATAAAAAAGGAGAGACGTTCACTTAACCTTTGCATTGTGTGTCTGTCTGTGCCACACTAAGCATGGACAACAGAAAGAGGAGACGAGAACTGTCTGAGGACCTGAGAACCAAAATTGTGGCAAAATATCAACAATCTCAAGGTTACAAGTCCATCTCCAGAGAACTAGATTTGCCTTTGTCCACAGTGCGCAACATTATCAAGAAGTTTGCAACCCATGGCACTGTAGCTAATCTCCCTGGTCGTGGACGGATGAGGAAAATTGATGAAAGATTGCAACGCAGAATAGTCCGGATGGTGGATAAGCAGCCCCAAACATGTTCCAAAGACATTCAAGCTGTCCTGCAGGCTCAGGGAGCATCAGTGTCAGCGCGAACTATCCGTCGACATTTAAATGAAATGAAACGCTATGGCAGGAGACCCAGGAGGACCCCACTGCTGACACAGAGACATAAAAAAGCAAGACTACAGTTTGCCAAAATGTACTTGAGTAAGCCAAAAGCCTTCTGGGAAAACGTCTTGTGGACAGATGAGACCAAGATAGAGCTTTTCGGTAAAGCACATCATTCTACTGTTTACCGAAAACGGAATGGGCCTACAAAGAACAAAACACAGTACCTACGGTAAAAATATGGTGGAGGTTCAATGATGTTTTGGGGTTGTTTTGCTGCCTCTGGCACTGGGTGCCTTGACTGTGTGCAAGGCATCATGAAATCTGAGGATTACCAAAGGATTTTGGGTCGCACTGTAGGGCCCAGTGTCAGAAAGCTGGGTTTGCGTCCAAGATCCTGGGTCTTCCAGCAGGACAATGACCCCAAACATACGTCAAAAAGCACTCAGAAATGGATGGCAAAGAAGCGCTGGAGAGTTCTGAAGTGGCCAGCAATGAGCCCAGATCTAAATCCCATTGAACACCTGTGGAGAGATCTTAAAATTGCTGTTGGGAAAAGGTGTCCTTCCAATAAGAGAGACCTGGAGCTGTTTGCAAAGGAAGAGTGGTCCAAAATTCCGGGTGAGAGGTGTCAGAAGCTTATTGATGGTTATAGGAAGCGACTGATTTTCAGTTATGTTTTCCAAAGGGTGTGCAACCAAATATTAAGTTAAGGGTGCCAATACTTTTGTCCAGCCCATTTTTGGGGTTTTGTGTGACATTATGTCATATTTGCTTTTCTGCCTCTGTTTTATATTTGTTCCAATACATACAAAGGGAATAAACATGTGTATAGCAAAACATGTGTTAATGCAATACCTTTTTTGTGTGAAATACTTGATTTTCAGGAAAAATATCAAGGGTGCCAACAATTTCGGCCATGACTGTAGGTTGTTATAACAACTCCATATCATGGCATTGTTGTCCTTTTGCTATGAATCCTTCTATGTTTGTACACACAGTATTGAAAAGTATCACAAAAGTATCACTGTGTATGTGTTTCTCACCAATGGTCTCTGTTGTACAAAAATGTATTGTCCAAAATGTACAGTATCTATACACGTGTTCACTTTCAATACTTCACTTTGCCCTCCATTATGTTAAAATGCCAGCAAGTTGCAGTGCTTTCTACACTGAAGCTTGCACTAACAGGTGACTGCTGGCTTTTTTTTATTTTTTTCCCGTGTAATGAGGTAGTTACATTTTCTGTGGCCTAAAGCAGTGAGCATATTTGTGGTAAGATCTGTGCAGGGTCACAGATACGCAAATGGCAAACCTCTGTTGGGAAAAATGGTAGACACCATTTTTTGTGAAGATTTAAAATTGCTAGTTGCCTGTATTTTATCCATTGGCTTCCATGCTTTCCAAGGCACTGAATCTAATTATACCCGAACAAAGTGCAGTCAAAACTATCAATGTGCATATTTTTTTTCTGGGCCAGTGGCTTAAACACTCAAAAAAATTGTATTTGCATGACAGCTGAGCAACTAGCATTTTCAGAAAAAAGAGCATTTTCAATGACAGCATATACATTTCTCTTTATACAGATTTCCGATAAAGTTTGTCCATTTATTTAAAAACAGAATTAGGATAATCAACAAACAACTTTTTTAGATGACGTGTTTGCTTTCACTCCCAGGAGACTAGTGCTTTTAGTTTTCAATGCAGAGCTCCTGGCACAGACAGTGATGCCCATTCCCTAAGACTACCCTAACACTAATCCTCCCTTAAACACACTTAACCCTTTGCTTGCATACACACGTGTCCTGCATTAGGGCAAAGACTATGCTTTCTGCATCCAAAGATATTATGCCAGAAACTCTCATTCCATCTTAGAAATCCACATATCCACAAATGGAAAATACACACCTTTTATAGTTAAGAGCATACCTTTCTAATAATTGATTGAAACAACAGAGGAAATAGAATGTAAATTAAACATTGAGATTCAGGTAGTACTGATTTCTGTATTCCCATAGGAAAACGTAAATAATATACATACTGTTAATACTTACCTCTCCTGTAGGTGAGGAGCACGATATCCTCTGTCTTCCAGCACTGTACCCTCCAGCACTTAATACCTCTGGAAGTGACGATTGCTTGCATAATTTGCTGCATATCATGGTTCCTTCCTCAGACCTTGAAAATCAGACAGCCAGGCAACTAGTATTTTTAGGAACCGGCTATCAATGGCAGCCCCCATACTTTTTTCATGAGAAATCAGAAATTCTTATTTATCTGGTGTTCTTTGAATTGTATTGTTTTTTGTATTGTCAAATTGTAACTCTTCACAGTATGTGCTACTCTGAAATGGTTTTTTTTTCTACAGTTATTGGAGCCAGCATATTTACTCTTCTAAGAGTTGTGTATTTTTAATGGATCTACTTGTTATTTGTGAGAAAGTAAAATGTCAACCCTTGCCATTCACTTTTGTATGTCCAAGTCCCTTCGGTGGGCAATAGCACTTGTACTTCTGTTTTGCCTTTTTTATTTATTTTGCTTGTCATATTGATGTTTACCAGTGAGTGTATCTTTGGAGCATTTCTCCTTTTAGTGATCTCTAAACAAAAACAACTGAGTTCAGGCATGACCGATACCTTTCTTAATGCCAATTGGTATTCTCAAATCCTTTAAATTATTTTTTTCTTCTTTTTTTTTTTCTTTTTCAAAACAACAGCGGAATTATAATTTTTTTTTATACAATAGGTAGAAGAAGTGCTCCTCCTCTGGATTTGACAGGTCTTCCTGGCACAGAAAAACTGAATGATAAAGAGAAAGAGGTATGGTGTCATGTTAAAGACCAATGCACAGGGCTGTGTTAATGATGTGAACACTGTCTCAGCTCCTCTTCTGAAAGAAAATCAAAACACAAACAGAAAAAAGTGAGCGCTTCGAGAAAGCAGAAGTTAGCACAGATTATTGACAAACCCAAACTAATAAAAAATACACTGAAAAATGCTTCTCTGTGCCCATAAATATATATCAAATAAATATGTTTACACATCTACGTTTCATAGATATATTAAATTCATAATAAATTTAAACCACCAATAAAAAAGTAAATGTGCAGTAATTAACTAAAAGGTGACAGTTCAAATAATGTCCAAATGGAGAACCATCCAAACAGCAATCTCCATTAGTAGTGCTTCATCTGTGAACCTACAGTGTATCCCCTGAAGATGTGCTGGTGCACAAAACGCGTCAGTGAGGTCTTACATGCTGAAGTCACGCCGCCATGTCCATGCTTGGAGCGGCGACCATCTTAGTAAGTCTGGCTTCTGTTATTTTATGTTTTCTACATTGTTTTATTGTCTGGTTTTTACTGTTTTCACCCATTGAGTAATAAATACTGCAATATATAACATACCTTGGGCTCCGTGTGGTGAGCTATTTTCAACAGGACCTACTGTTGGCTACGGTGGTATCCATTCTGAGGAGCGATCTGTTGAGGGTCGTTTGATCTGCAGTTTTTCCATTAGGCACATTATCTTTGTGTTTCTGGTGAGTGCATATTGGTGGTAGATTCACACGGAGGAGATTTCACATATTTGTTTACTGCACAGATGAAGCACTACTAATGAAGATTGCTGTTAGGTGACAATTCAAATAACATCCATCCTGTTAGGTAATTACTGCACCTTTACTTATTTATTGGTGGTTTAAATTCATTATGAATTTTTTTTAGATATTTCATGTAATTTAATAAATCTATGAAATTTTTGTATGTAAACATATATTTATTTAATTTATATTTGTTTATGTACACATACAGTGAAGGAAAGAAGTATTTGATCCACTGCTGATTTTGAATGTTTGCCCACTCACAAAGAAATGATCAGTCTAAAAATCGAATGGCAAGTGTATTATAACATTGAGAGAATAGCAACAAAAAATTCTAAAGAAATGCATGTCTAACAAATTATGCACTGATTTGCATGTACATGAGGGAAATAAGTATTTGGTCCCCTTTCATACAGTTAAAAAGCTGAGATTAGAAGCAGTCTCTTAAAGGGAGTGCTGCTAATCTCATTTTTTTGCCTGTATAAATGACACCTGTCCACAGGAGCAATCAAACAAATTCCAAACTCTCCACCATGGCAAAGACCAAAGAGCTGTCCAAGGATGTCGGGGACAAGATTGTAGACCTACACAAGGCTGGACTGGGCTACCAAACTATCGCCAAGCAGCTTGGTGAGAAGGAGACAACAGTTGGTGCAATAATTCGCAAATGGAAGAAACACAAAACAACTGTCAATCTCCCTAGGTCTGGTGCACCATGCAAGATCTCACCTTGTGGAGTGTCAATGATCTTGAGAACAGTGAGGAATCGTCCCAGAACTACATGTGAGGATCTTGTCAATGATCTCCAGGCAGCTGGGACCACAGTCACCAAGAACACAATTGGTAACACACTACACCGACAAGGATTGAAATCCTCCAGTGCCCGCAAGGTCCCTCTGCTCAAGAAAGCACATGTACAGGTCCGTCTGAAGTCTGCCACTGAACAACTGAATGATGCAGAGGAGGACTGGTTGATAGTGTTGTGGTCAGATGAGACCAAAATTGAGCTCTTTGGCATCAACTCAACACTCCCTATTTGGAGGAGGAGGAATTTTGCCTATGACCCCAAGAACACCATCCCAACTATCAAACATGGTGGTGGAAACATTTTGCTTTGGGGTGTTTTTCTGCTAAGGGGACATGACAACTGCACCGCATCAAAGGGACGATGGACGGGGCAATGTACCGTCAAATCTTGGGTGAGAACCTTCTTCCATCAGCCAGGGCATTGAAAATGGGTCATGGATGGGTATTCCAGCATGACAATGACCCAAAACATACGGTCAAGGCAACAAAGGAGTGGCTCAAGAAGAAGCACATTAAGGTCCTGGAATGGCCTAGCCAGTCTCCAGACCTTAATCCGATTGAAAAATCTGTGGAGGGAGCTGAAAGTTCAAGTTGCCAAACATCAGCCACCAAACTTTAATGACTTGGAGAGGATCTGTCAAGAGGAGTGGGCCAAAATCCCTCCTGAGATGTGTGCAAACCTGGTTGCCAACTACAGGAAACGTCTGAGCTCTGTGATTGCCAACAAGGGATTTGCCACCAAGTACTAAGTCATGTTTTGTGAAGGGGATCAAATACTTATTTCCCTCATGAACATGGAAATCCGTGCATAATTTGTTAGACATGCATTTCTTTTGAATTTTTTGTTGCTATTCTGTCTCTGTGTTACAATACACCTACCATTCGATTTTTAGACTAATCATTTCTTTGTCATTTTCTTTCAGTCTACTAGGTATATTTTCCTTCTCTTTTCACACTTATTAATAGTTTGTGGGATTCTGTATAAAGAATACTATTATATTTATGTTGGCTACATTGTCAGGTGTACATTTACATACATTTTGTTTTCACAGCTCTGTCAGGTAGTGAGGCTGGTCCCAGGAGCTTACTTGGAATATAAAGCAGCACTTGTGAACGAATGCAACAAACAAGGAAGCTTACGTCTGGCTCAAGCACGATCGCTTATAAAAATTGATGTTAATAAGACCCGTAAAATTTATGATTTTCTGCTACAAGAAGGGTATATCACAAAACCTCAGCCATAACAAAATGAACTGGTGCATAATTCAAAACATTTTCCATAAATAAAACCTTGCAAATGTTACATGTAACAAATTTGAGATTTGAAATGTTACTAGTTACTCTATTGGTTTTGGTCTTTTGCAAAGTGACAATGGCATCCAAACAGAAAGCAGAAATATGGAATTGCTCATAACAGTCACTAATGCTGATGGATTGTTGAAAGTAGCTGCAGTGAACTCATTACTTATCCACCAACATGTTACAATTTATCTCAAGGCTTGGAGCAATAGAAAACACTTGAGGGATGGAAGTGGAACATAAGAAGTAATATTTGCCATATATCTATAAATTCAGAAATTACATCTGACCTATGACATTTGTGATGATATTTCTCATCTAGGCCATTTTCAGTTTAATTATCTACATAGGTTTGTGGGTCAACAGCAGGTCACCCAGACTTTCCATTGGCTGGTAACAGATTCATGGTTCTTCAACACCATTCCAAGGTATTCCTAGTGCATATAATTCTTCCTTCCCCTGGATGTTAGCCAAGCCTTCTTTTTGTTGGATGTGTATGGAACAATTCCATATTAAATCATCTCGGCAACCCTGTCTCATAATGTGAACCCAGCAGTCTTGTGAAGACACTTCACCTTACTACTGTACTTCGTAGGTCATTAATAGTGTGTTTTTCCCATTCTTACTAAATTCTACAATAGTTGGTTGTTTGTTTTGTAACTACTGTATGTATGATAAACATTGACGCAAATGTTGTTTCTGTAAGCATTTGTTACAACTTCAACTATGTGATTCATGGAAAATATTTGTTCCTTTTTTGTTCATTGATAGCACAGGAAGTCATATACTGTTGGGCTATAGAGCTGCCTACAGGAGGATTGGGCAATCAAAAAAAAAAAAAAAATTCTGTTTTAACAGCCCAAGATAATTTTTCCTCTGCCCAGCATACTTCAATTCTTTTGCTAGTGTCCTAGAAGGATGGGCATCTGCTCTTCAGCTCTGCTGAGAAAGGTCTGACCAGTTTTCTGCTAGTCTTTTTGCCTTTAACTTTTTTCTTTGATTTCTACTTCAGTTTGACTTCAATCAGGATTCCCTGCTACATTGCTTCTTGAGCTGTTGTCTACCTGGCAGCTTTTCAGATCGGTCTTACCTCGGCCTAGCTTTGAAGTGCTGTACCCGGGCTTCTTTGGAATGGATGTTGCTAGTCTAGCCTGGGAGTGACCTTCAGAAACTGGGCTCCACTTTGTGGATCTTCCCTGACCTAGCACTGCTAAAAGTTAGGTTCAGAGCACTTTTTAGGTACAGAGCGGCTGCCATTTCATCAGCACTTCCCCTGTCTCTGAAGACTCGATGTGTTGAGTAGGATGATGGGGCTGAGCTCCAGGATCTACCTCATTACTTGCACATCTTTCTGCCTCTTGAATTTCCCCACTATCACTGGTTCCACTGCACAAGGAGTTGAGGGACTGATGTCATCTACTGGGTGGATTGTTCCATTCTGAGCTCTTTCCTGCCATCCAGTATAGAGGAGGCCCTCTATACTGCTCCTGCTTTGCAAAAGAATCATGAGGAATTCTGCTCTCCTTTTCCTAATGGCTGCTTGCAGTTACTCTGGTCCCCTTCAACTATTTGACCGATAACTCAGCCGGTGGCTGATAAGGGTCACAGTGACCATCTCAGAATGAGTCTTTACAGTCTGTTTCTAAAGAGAGGTGTTTTTGGAGGCATCTGAGTCTCCGGCCTTTATCTCAGACTTGAAAGAGAACATTTCAGTTTTTACTGATGCAGTACACACTACCTTGCATTTGGAGGATCAGCCTGCTTTCTCCAGTCTTGGGTATTTCAGGGACCCTACAGTTGCAAAGATCTTTCCACTGAACCTCCTTTTCAAGGTGTTACTTTATGTGGGCCGGAAGCACCCTTAAGGCTCCTGGACACCACCTGAGCGTGTGTTGCAAATGTTGTCCTCAGAGATAGAATATGTTAAAAGGTGGTCTTTCTCCACCATGGTTCTGCTAGCGACACACTTTTAACAGGGAAACCACCTGGTAAGTAGAATGCGTGCTTAGCTTTAATGATTCTTAAGACCAGCAGTTGTAATGCTTCCTTAAATCCCAGTTTTCTCTGTCAGGTTCTGCCCTCCTTCCTTTGTTGATTGTAACCTTAATTTGTAAACAGTGGCAGAATGGGATTGAGCCATCAAAAGGTGCTTTTCGCTAGAGGGGTAGACCTCTCCTAATATGCCACGTAAAGCAGATGTCTGAACTCTTACTTTTCAGTTATGAAGCCGCTTGTCAAAAGCATCTAAACATGTATCCCTAATGGGTCTGATGTCCCTACAGATGCACAGAGCACTCTGGTTAAGATACTGGGATGCTGTATCCAAGGAATGCTAGACTTGTTTGGTCTTTAAGGAACTTTGTCTTTTTGGTTCTACCCTTGACATTATCATCAAGGATTCCACGGGAGGCCATAGCATACACCTGCCTCAGCGTAAGACATCCAAGGACAGGCCAGCTGAGCCCCAGCCCTCTCATCTGTCTGCTTATAAAAGCCTACAACCAGGCCTGCTAAGCCTGATTTTCAAAGAAGGCTTATGCATGAAAGTTTCCCACCTTACTGTTCAAATGAGAGGGTGAGTGTTAATCCTTGTGATTCTTTGAGTGGTCTGCCCTGCTGGCATTCAGGCTCAGAGAAAGGTTAATCCCTTGCCTCTTGCACTCTCTCCAGTCACTCACTTTCCACTCCTCTGAGCCACTGCACAAATTTACAGACATTTCACTGCTACCTTGGTTTTTTCTCAGCCCAGAGTTTCTTGCTCTGTTTTCTGTGTTAACTCGACCTTTAGTGCTGTGTCCTATCCAGGGCACCTTCCTTTATGTCAAGGTAATTTGCTTCCCTTGACGCATCAAAGATCATCCTTTTTGTTTTTTTGTTTTTTTTGTTTTTTATCACTTTCCTCATTCAGAGGAACTCCCTGAATTACTAGGTCATTTATGTCTAGCTTCATGTGTGGGGAACTATGGCTGACCTAATGCCCTTTCCTGACATTCCCATTGCGAGACAGACGACCCCCTGTTAAGAGAATAGTCGCCATGTAACTAGATGGACAGCTGAGGGTCTAAACACCTACAAGATCTGGCCGTCTCTCTCCTCAACAGGTTTTAGCACTGGACATTGCCTTTCACCTTTAGGTGACATTTGACAACACAGCTCTGTTGTGGAGTGATCCACAGCATGGATGCCTTCAGCCCCCTCATCATCAGACAGGAAGTTACTCATCTCTTCTCCTTTTCAGGATCATCGAGTGTTGAAGGGCCTTCTTATCAGATGCACCTCGCTTTCTCGCATGTCATCTGTGTGCACCTTAGCTTCTTGTTCCATTGTTGCCGGTCTAGTTCCTGAGCAAACCTGTGTGTCTACTTCTAAAGATCTGGCCTGATTACTCAATTTCCCATCAGATACCTGTCAAGGTCTGTTATTCTCATCTTTGGGCTTCCTCTCATTGGAGTATCAGTGTCTTCTGTTCTGAAAATGAAGATTGCAGACCCGGTGGTTTTCCTTCTACATCATGGGTTTCCTCCCTGGTCAGATCTCCTGTTTTGGACACCGTGTAAGTATTTCTACATCTTCACCATCTAGAAGGAACGGGATTCCTTACTGCATCAGGAGAGGTAGTCTGGTTCAGTTGTGAATGGTATCTTGGGGCTCAGTCTTTCCCTTAAAGGTGATCTCTGAGAATCCAGTTATTTGTGTTGGTGGCTTGTGAACATAGAGAAGAGGTTCATGCACTAAGGAGCATTTCAGACCCTAAGGGATTTTGGAGGATGGCCCCATGTCTCCATAGGCTTTCTGTGAATGGAATAATCCAGTCTCCTGCTTCAGGTGTCCCCTGTCAGGAATAGACAAAGTCTTAGGGCCAGTTCACACTACATGCATTTAGTGTGCTCTTTTTTCTGCATCCAAAACGCACAGGGAGTAGGTTATATGGTTGTTTAATGTCATAGTTCACATCAGTGCTTGCAGTTCCAGTGTGTTCTGAATGCATAAAAAAAAGTAGAACAGGCTGCATTTTTCCTGCACAGAACTGTACTGGAACGTGGTAATACGCATAAAAAAACGCACAGAAAACACACTGGAACTCACATGTCCCTATTTAAATTGAAGAAAAAGAGAAAAAAAATAACAGGAAAGCATTAATAAACGCACCGGAACGCATCAAAAAAATGTGCATCTGGACTACATTTCTGTAGTGTGGACCGGCCCTTAAGGATTCCATGGGATGTATCCACCTGAGGTTAGAACGCTCTTGCTTGCCTGCTCCTCCAGTCTAAAAGGCTTTGTTGTTCTGGTTTCACTCAGGTGAATTTTCTTCTCCATCCTGAGAGGACTCCTGTCCCTTGTTTCATTGATGCAGCTTGTGTGTCTAAGTTCATTCTTAGCTCCATCAGGGTTGTAACCCATTTTGGCAATTTATGGTTGATTCTCTACTTGGTGGGTTTGTTCAGCCTTTTGCCTTGTGTTCTGGTGATTGCTTCCATGTTTAGTCAATCCTCTCTAGTTGGTGGTCTCAGGCATCAAGTTAATTCTCTGCTTCCCCCCTCTGGTAATTTTTGGCAGTTTACTCCATCAGGCAGAAGAATCAGCCTCATCTGGTGCCAGGTTTAAGGCATTGGTCCTTCAGGTTGTGCTTTATTTCGTTGGGCCTCTTAGGATGCCCAAAAGCAGTTAAGGTGGGCAACAGCAGCAGCCTCTAACAGTATATGACTTTTTTGGGTTTATTTACTAAAGCTGGAGAGTCCAAAATCAGACTCCCTTCTGCATAGAAACCAATCAGCTTCTAACCTCAGCTTGTTCAATGAAGCTTTGGCAATGAAACCTGGAAGCTGATTGGTTTCTATGCAGAAGGGAGTCTGATTTTGGACTCTCCAGCTTTAGTAAATAAACCCCTTTGTGTCTGTAGGTAGAAAAGAAAGCAAATAGGATTTTTGTACTCACCGAAAAA